ATTCTATAATCAATTTAGAAGTAAATCTATCTAATAAATTTTCATGTTTTACATATTCTCTATTAAATTTTTATGTTTGACAATCTAAAACTTTTATGCTTCTTTACCAAAGTCATGTGGAGTACTTGTATAAAGATTAACAATGTCACATGTAAAAAAAAAACAAATATCCAAATAACGCTCTTGGTATTTTTCTTGAGAATTTATAATCATCTTTAATAAAAGTTACAATTACAAGAATTTTTGAAGTTATGTAGAATTTCGTTTAGAATTTATAATGATGATTATGATTATTTCAATTTTTGTTAGAATCTTATTTACAGTAATCATTTATGATTTTATCCTTTTTTTTTTTATCCTTTTTGCTTTTATCAAGTTGTGTCAATTGTTCTAGTATTGTAATTTGAATTTTTTTAAAATCGCGTTCATGTCAGTGTTGTTCATTCTATGAAACTTTTATTTAAATTTAGTTTTCATGTGAGTTTTTCATATATAAACGCCATTGAGCAAAATTTTTTTTGGCTATAGGACAAAACCTTGAAGTTTTAGAACTTATATATATATAAACCTTGGGAGGAGTTCATAAAGTACATACGCAATAAAACTACTGGTTTAGGATCCTTTATTTTCCTATGAACACAAACTGTAAGCTTTAAACAACCCTCCTTTATTTATTACAAAAATCAACCCCCTTGCTTAATACATAAATTTTTAAAAACATCAACAACAAAAAAAAAAATTTAGTTAACTCAACATATTTATTTTAAAAAACATAATATTGAATTTTTTTAAACTTGTGAAATTCGATGCTTTTGTTAAAAAAAAGTAATCAAAAGCCTTTTAGGAGAGATAGAGAACAAAAGATTTTCAAACCACATACAAACTCGCTACTTTAACACCCTATCTTTTGTATGCATTTATACATACTTCGTTAAATAAAGTATGTACCTGGGTACATAATTTATGGAAGACCCCTTGAGTGTTTGGTGGATAAATTGATAACTATAAGAATTGTTTGTGATAAATTTTTCGAATCTGTTACAGGTGGTATTTGACTGTAGTCAATAACAATATTGAGTTAATAGAGGTTGAGAAGTTAATTTTACTATTTTGGTGCATTTTTGTAAACTTTTGGTTTTTAGACTAAATGTGTGTGTGTGTGTATATGTGTATATATATATATATATATATATATATATATATATATATATATATATATATATATATATATATATATATATACATATATATATATATATATATATATATATATATACATATATATATATATATATATATATATATATATATATATATATATATATATATATATATATATATATATATATATATATATATGTATACATACATACATACATATATACATAAAAATATATTTATACATACATAAATGTCCATACAAGGCAAATCAGCATGAGAAATTGGTTTTTTGCACATAAATAAAAAACTAATATTAGTTATTTTATCAAAAGTGAGCAGTGAGATTAACATATTGGGGGTGATTCTATATAGAATGACAAGAAATTAGAATAAAAGAACTAAAAATTAAAAACAAAAGAACTCAATACATCCGGATCAAACAAATAAAATTCTAACTTTGACTTAAACAAAATATGCTGAGTTACTATTCAGAACTGTTGTAAATGCTGTAATTTTCATGAATAAAACAGAAATTATTCATATTCTAATTATCACTACTAAGCGTCTTTAACATTGACTTAAAATAAAGTATAATTTATTTGTGCATTAAACTTGACACTTAAATATTAAATTTCTTTATTTAATAAAGTATATCATTGAAACCTAAATATTAACGGGGTGTTCTAATACTTATCTTTTTGTTGGGTGATATTTTTATTCACAATTATAGTTTAGGATAAAATATGTTTATATTTATTTTTGTTCTTAATACATCTACATTTACACATTTCAAACAACGATTTTCAATCATTCTCTCGGATATTTCCGTATCTTATAAATCGTAAGAAGTCGCGTAACTTTACTCGCTTTTTATAAGTTAAATAGTTTGGTATTAGAGCACGTGATTATAAAATGTAATATTTTTATCACGTGTGTTTAAACGACTAGTAATGAAAACATATAGTTCTTTTTATGAAAGAAACATGAGAGCGGATAATTTAGCCATAACAAGGAAATCCTTTTTTGTTTGTCGTTATCAAACTAAACTTTAAAAAATAATAGAACGAAAAGCAAATCAGAAGATGAATGAAAATAGAAGTCAAAATCTCGAGAAAGGTATTTAAAAAAATGGTCTCAAAGTAGTCGAGTAAATAATACTGCATTTTTTAAAACTCACTTATATGTGAAAAAACTTTGTTATTACAGAGCTTTTATACGTGATTGCCAAGTATTTAGAAAATGGTCCTTGTAAGAAGGCAGGCATGGTAAAATATTATATAGTTTCTGTGCTTTACCTCTGGTTCTTTAATGAATGACTTCAAACACCCAAAGTATAAATCATAAATATAAATGTTTTTCTTATAAAAATATACACGTCGTTCTTACTTTTTAGATTCTTCGTGAGGAGTTGCAAAGAAATCAGGTTTGTACCACCACTCTTGATATACAATTTAAAATGTTGATTAAAAAAGCTATTTTATGTAACGTTCTTTTAAAGAATGTCTCGCAAAACGTGCGGGAAAGCGGATATACTCTTGGTGAATGCGAAATCACAGAAATATAGTTTATTTTTAATTTTACTTTCGATTTCAGCTTATTTTCCCCCGATTAGATTGGAAGGGGAACGTCCACGTTCAAAATTATGAAGAATTTGTAAGTAAAAATATAAAAATAATGATTGGAAAAAAATTTATAATTTCATTTATTTAATTATTAATGTAAAAAATTTATTAGTTCACTGTCTGTTACGATATTCTTTATTGAAGTCTGGTTGAGGTACAAAAATTTCGACGATTTTTGAAAATATTTAGTGCTAAAAATTTATATTTAAAGTTTTGCATAAATTTCGATTGTTACGAGCAATAAAAAGTAAACCAATAAAAACTAGTTTTAAAGCAGTGACGTCATTATTATGCGTTTTTTCAGCGAGCGTTATAAACAAAATGGTAACTTTGTTTTTATATTTTTTTAGGATCGAAAAAATGCGCACTTACCTCCACAGTATCTTGTACAACTTATTGAGAGGTTAAACCCGTTAGTTGAGCAATGTTTTCCCTCCAGTATAAAATCACTAAAATCCTTATTAGGGCGAGGATCTGCTTCTTTATTAAGAACTGAAGTTACCGGTAAAGCTAAAAAAAGTTTGTATTGTTAGTTCTTATCCTTATTTCTTATTCGGATTTAAACTGCCAAGGACGGTAGAAATTGAAATTAAATCTTTTTTTGTAGATTTAGTTTTCTTTTTTCCCTCATTGTCACAAAGTTGCATTTCTTTCTCTTTACAAATACACCCAAGGTGCTATTCAAAAGAGTTATGATCAAGAGATTTCCTATTGTCAAAACACAATGTAATATATTGCCTAGCTTTTATCTTATCAACTTTTTTTTCTTAATGAAATTTGAAAAAATGATTTTTTAAGAAATAATAATAGATAAAAGCCTCTCTTTTTGTAGGATCATCAGGAATGCATTTTGATGATCTTACAAAAGAAGAAACTGCCCATAGAAGTTTGAAAAAGAGATACAAAAATGTTTTACAAGTTTATTACTATTTTTATAATGTGTATTATATATATATATATATATATATATATATATATATATATATATATAATATATAGGCTTATCATAATTTTGAAATTGTAAACCAGGACAGGCAGGGGTTGCAACAGGGGGAGGGGCGTAAATAGAGGGTGTTTTGGGGATGGGTGAATAAATAGGTGTCTTGAAAAAAGATTTTGTGAATGTGATATAGGGGGAGGGGGAGGTCAAATGCTGAAACAAATAACCAGAGAGACCTAGTTATTGGGCGCTGTAGGTTCTATCTAACGAGGTTTCATGAAACCTAGTTAGATCACCCTGTGACTAGGTTTCATGAACATATATACAAAAAAGGAAGAGCTTAATTGCTCAGCTGCTCAAGGGATCTAAAGCAAAGAAACAACACCAAAATATTATTTGTTAAGCCTAATAAAAGAAATATGAGAAAAAAATTATTCACTGTTATTTTATGAGTTATAATTTTAAGTAGAATGTACTTTTTCAAGCAAGTTAAAATTTTTTTAATAAAAAAGTGAGCATATAATGCCAAAGTTCAACTTGCAATACAATAATGCATGTACCTTAGACTCTTCCAAATGGCTTCGGTCATCTGACCAAATGTTTTTCATGATTGAAAAAATACAAAATGTATTCAATAACTTTTACCAGATTAGGTGCACCAATGTCTTTTTCTTGAAAATGTTTGAATAATTGAATCCATTTGCCAAGATAAGGCCTTTGGACATTTAATGAACTCTATTCTTTCTTTTTTGATGCAAAAAATGTTTTTACACTTATCTTATCAAAAAAACATTTTATCAAAAAGACTGTCAATACTAATTTTTTGTAGATCATCTGTACCATGAATATTGTTTATTGCTTCAGCAGATTGTTCAATATCCTCCATGCAAATATTTCAGCCCCACCAAAACTATTTTCCCACATTTTAATATAAGAGAGTTCAAGATAACACTATTTATAAAATTATATTTAAAAAAGGAATTTATCTCTGTCAAAAAGTATTAGCAAAATTACTATTCATTCTTTCCTAAAGATTAGATTTTAATTTTCAAAATTTCAGCTTTGCATTTGGTACACTTTGTATGGCTTTTAATATCGGCTTTGTTAACAAAGCAGATATTAAAAGCCATACAAAGTGTAGATATTAAAAGCCATACAAAGCTTTAACAAAGTAAAAACACTTTGTTATAGTCACCACTAATTTTTTTTATAAAGGGGTAATCTTCTTGAAGTTTAAACTTCTTTTTGGTATATTAAAACAAACAAAAAAATCAGGGTTTCTTATACGCATATAAAGCCAACAGTTAGTGTTATTTAAAATGATTCAAAATAAGACTGGATTCTTGATAAAACGCAGACTTAAAAGTAATTGTTAGTATTTGCACAAAATGAAAAAAAAAAATTCTTTTTTCCCCAAAAATGGGATAAAATGAAGACTGTTGGGACACTGGGACAGCTGGTATAAAACTGGGGTAATCCCTGTCAAAGGAGATGTATGGTAAGCCTATATATATATATATATATATATATATATATATATATATATATATATATATATATATATATATATATATATATATATATGTATATATATATATATATATATATATATATATATATATATATATATATATATATATATATATATGTATGTATATATATATATATATAAGTTAATTTTTAGAAACTGAACTAAAACAATCATCATGGCATTCAGTCACTCGAAACTGCGCGCCTCAACTTCTTCCTCCCAACATAAAATGCACATCTTTTGGTTAGAGATAATTACAATATTTGTGCATTGATTTTTTTAATATAAAGTGAAGTTTTTTAATGTTCTATTTGGATCCTCTTTTATTTTAATGGTACACTATTTTATTATTTAGTTGCTACAATAATTGGAAGAGAGTTTTCTGGGAGCAAAGGAAATCTAAATCTTACATTGAATTGCGAACTTTTTTTAAAGATGTCAATAGTAATATTCTTTTTTGGTTCAGTTCTATTAAAAATTGTGATTTTGAATTAAATTTCAAAATTTGGACAATAATTTGAATAAAACTTAATTTTGAATTATAATTATTTTGTATTTAATTTCAAAACTCAGCATCAGTAAATAGTACTATAGATAAATAGACATAATAAATAGATTCATTTAATAAAAAGAAATTAAATTATTTAAATAAAAATTAATTGTTTAGTTTTCTGCTTATTGTAGCACAAACGTGTATTGGGACATTTGGCTTCAGTATACTGTGTTTTGTTTGATAGAACTGGCAGTATTATTGTTACGGTAACATAAAAGGCATATTCATAGTTTAATGTATACTTTGAATTTTATTTATAATAGCACCATATAGACTTTGTATTTGATGTTTGGTTTAGGGCGCTGATGACACACTTGTTAAATTATGGTCAACACGTGATTGCCATCTTATTGCAACATTGAGAGGTCATTCTGCACAAATTACTGATATTTCTATAAACATGGAAAACACGCTACTTGCGTCAGGAAGTTTGGATAAAGTATGTCTTAAATAATATAAATCATGTTTTTTGTATGTTTAAACACAAAGCAAAATGACAAAAAACTAAAAGTTTGAAACAGGAAATTTTTAAATACCAATATATTAAAAGTAAATAACTAGTTTTAAAAAACATTTTAGTATATTCTCTTTGTTTACTTATTATAATTATAATGTTAAATACTTTTTATTTTTCACTTGACATATAACTCAGAGAATGTTTAACATAGAACATTCTCTGAATTAGACAAATCATCTTGAAAAAAAAACTGGTTTTTTATTAAATTCCACAAAAATTTAGTTTATGACCTCATTTTTTTAATTTAGTTTAGTTTAATGTTTATTTGTTCCATCAACAATAACATTGGAAAATTTTCAGATTCAGATATTAAAAGGATCTAATATGTTTGTAGCTGAATATCTGGCAGTTTTTTTGCCAGATCAATAAAATCGCTAGAATATTTAAATGTAGTTAATATTTTGTTAGTTATAGTATTATTCTTTTAAAAGCCACGCGATTTTCACCTTCATGGTTTTCATCTTCTTGTGCAACTGCAGTATTTAATTGGAATCATTTTTTCCGTCTTTTTTACAAGAATATCTCTCTTGAGAAAAACTTGATTGCAATAAAACATTTTCAGTTTCTGTTTTCAACATGATAAGGTGTGTTTTTAGTGTATATGTAAAAATATATTTCAAACAATATATATTTTACTAAAGCTCTTACTGATTTCATTTATTTTCATTATTTTATTTTTTTTTCATTATTTTATTTTTTCATTTTTTGTGCATAAAATTTTTTGTTTGTTTTTAACTTAACTTTTCGATTGATTGTTTGATTGTTTTCCAAATTCTATATATTTTATTTTGTTTTTTTATTCTCAATAAATTTATTAATGATCACGAGTTTGCTATCATAAATTATTTATTATATACAAAACTACAGCATTATCTCATACGTAGAGGCTTAGCAATATTCATACATAACACTCTAAAGTCATCTTTAATAAATCTCGACATATTTCCATCTGAATCACTAAGTTGTGAAATTATATCAAAAACTTCGAAGTTGTTGCTAAACTTATACTTTCAGATCACCAAGTCTAACTTGAATCTCAGTAAATATTTTTGAAAGAACAATACAAATTCATATTATGAATAATACAAATTCATATTCATGGCACACCTAATTAAGAACAACTTATTAAGTCTACATCAACATGGATTTTGTCTAGGTCACTCCTGTTTAACCAACCTACTAAGTGTAATTGATTTTTGGACCCCACTTGAAAACAATATTCCCATTGACAATATTTACATTGGTTATCATTGACAATATTTACCTCGAAGTAATCAAAAATAAGTCAAATGCAGCACTTTTTGCTGATAATACCAAAATCTTTTGTTCTTGAAAATACTCTATCTCTTCAAGAATTAAAAAACAAAATTGAAGTACTTGTTCTATGGTCTCAATAAAATTCATTCTCAAAAATGGAGAATGAAATTTAACACTGATAAAAGCTATGTACTAAACTTTTTTTTTACACTAAAACAGGAGGTGTTCAGGTAGACTCAAATTTATTATTTTCAAAACATTAAACTATTCAAGTCAACAAAGCAACACAAATATTGGGTTTGATAAAAAGATCATTTTCATCCTATCCAAATCTATACTCATTTATAAAATTATTCTCAGCTTTAATCTGCTTCCATTTAAAATATTGTGGATCAATATGTTCGCCGTAGCCTTTCAAAAACAAACTTCAAATGGAAAACCTATTAAGAAGATCTTTCATATGAATTGAAGACTTAAACAATTTCCCATATGAACAAAGACTGTTGGCTCTAATTATGACAAGTGTAAAATACAGACTAATTTGCGTAGATCTAATTAATGTTTTCAAATGATGCAATAGTAATCATGATAAAAATTTATTCGAAATCAAAATGTAATTCAATACCCGTGGTCATATATTCATACTAAAAAAACATTCCTCTCGCTTAAATATGTGTACAAACTTTTCAAGCCAGAGAAAAAAGTGTGGATACAACAACTGGTATAATATGTAAAGAGTTCCATCTAGTACAGGACAAAGTCCAATGAAGAAAACTAATATTTGCAGATGATCTGACACTGCTGTTGAGTCAGATTTTTAACTGTTGTTCACTCTTTAAGTTATGGTAAGATTTCATAAAAAAAGGTTCTCATAAAATATTAATATTGGTGTGTTTTTATTCTCTTTATGTTTCAAAGTTCATTACTTTCTAACTTTATCAAAATTTGTTGCTGTAAGTTTAAGAAAAAGTGTTGCAATATTCACATTTTTCTATAAGACTGAACATTAATGTAAAATGATATTTTTCAAGAAATGTAAAATTGAAAGTTTAAAAAAATGCAGACACTTTTTTCACTATTATTTTTATTATGGATGTCTTGTTAAATTTAGAAAATGCTACAATATAAACAATAGTCAAAGTTACAATAGGCTTTCTAACATTCCTAACTTGTTTTAATTATTAGTTTGATAAGATTGTCATTAAAGTTTTTTCAAATTTTATGTTGCTTTTTGAACTGCTCAAATAATTTTGACAATTTAAGGTTTTTTTTTCCCCCAGACTATAAGGGTTTGGAGACTAAAAGACACACATCCTGTTGCAGTTTTGCAGGGTCATACAGGAATGATCACTTCATTAGAGGTAAAATAAACAATTTTTAAGCATTTTATTTACCAAGGTATGGTGTAAAAAAGTACAATTTATTTTAAAAACTCAAGTTAAACATATAATTTTTTTTTTCAGTTTTGTCCAAGTGCTGATCCTTTTGTGAGGTATAATATTTTTCATGAATACTTCAATAACATTTTGTCTCTGTAAAGTATTTTTTAATTTTTTTTTTTTTTTTAAATGGTCCATATAAGCATGTTTTATGAAAAGTTAAAAGTATATTTGACACTTCCACAACCATTTTTAACTGTTCTTCTTGTGCAATTCAAATGAAAAGGTTCACTCCTTATTTGCCAAACATTTTTTACACCATCAGTTAAAATTGAATTCATCAAATCAAAAATCTTTGTTTCATAATGATTTTGGCTTTTAATAGTTATATAATACTTAATTTAAGTTTAATTTAATAGTTATATAATACTTAATTGCAAAGGTCGCTCTTTTTATTATCTGATTTTTTTTTGTTGGTAAAAATTGCAAACTTGTTATAAAAAGAGAAAGTCTAATCCATTTGTGCAACAAAAAACAATTCAGTGAGCAATTAAGTTATTCAAACCAGATATTTTTATAACAGAAAAAATGATTTGAATTTTTATCCTAAAATAATTCTCATAACCAGAATTATAATGGCAAATAATTCTTTTTTGTTTATATATCTTTAATAATTTGTTTTGAAAAGTTCAAACTTATTCAAACGCTATTTCCTAATTCTCAATTTCACTTTTTAATTATCATTGTTGTTTAGTAGTCAGTAAGTTTTTTTCTTCAGTTTTTATTACCCAAGAAAAAATACCCAAAAATAAAAATACCGGACTACTGATTATCATAGCAGACAATTTAAAGGAGACATATATGGTATTTTAATTGTTGCAGGGGGACCGGGAAAAAACTGGAGGTTCCACCCCTGTTTAACATCATGGGTTCATAAGGTTTAAAAAAAAAAAAAACTTGGGAATGTGAAAACAGTCATATTTTGTCAAGTAATAGCTAATCCAAAGTTAAGTAGCTGTGAACTTATTAAAATATTTACAGAGAACTGTGGACAACTTTTTTTTCCAAATACAGTTAGAAGCATTTTAGTTTATATGGAGAAGTATTGGTAATAATGCAGCTGTTAGAAAACCCATATTGACAGCCAGAGGTAATGGAAGGAGAGAATTGGATGATTGTTTGAAAAGTGAAAGAAATTAAGCTTCTCAGTAATCTTACTTATTATTATTTATAAGTAATTAATAAAGTTATAATAAATTTATTATATATATTTATGAATTGTATATATAAATAAATTTATTGTGTATTTAATATCGTTATAAAGTTGTTGTTAAAAGGTTTTAACCTGTAAAGTAATTGTTTTGTTGTACAGAGGTTGCAGTTGCCAGTGAGAGTGTTGGTATTTCGGAGTAATATTTATAGAGACTGAATCAACCATATAAAGATAAAAAGATAAAAACTTCATGGTTCTATTAGTAGATAGTACATGTTGATTGATCAAAATAAATGGTGGCTGTTTTAATAAGGTATGGTGCCTACCCAAACATTTTTTACAGTCAACTGATGAAAGAAAACAAAGTAGATTTAATACCCTGGCCAGCTTGATCCCTACATTTAAATCCAATCAAGTCTATTTACGCTTGGATGGACAAAGAATTAATTATGGTACGAACATCCATAAATAGTTTAAAGCAAGAACTAGATACCATTTGGACAGTCAGGGGCTATTCTAGACCATTTTCAACAACGTCAGCGGTAATTGGACGCCACCCAAATTAAAATTGAGGACCTTTTTTTTTTTATGGAAAATATTGTTTGTTTTTTTGCAAAAAAAACACTGATTTTCTGCTAAGTTTCATTGGGACAGGAAGGGTACCGCTATAAGGGTACCGTATAAATTATTTTCCTAGAATATACCCTGACAGTACTACTCAAAATTTAAAACAATCTTGTTAAATTAATGCAAGAATTATCTGTAGCTTGCAAAAAAGTACCTAGGGGGATATTTTAAATTCTAGTTTAGTATGTTTATTTTTGTTGCACCAATTTTGACATTTTGCAGTTTTTTTATTGGTAATTTTTGTTATGTTTGATGTTTTTATATAGAATTGTATGTTTTAGTATCCAAGATGCAAGATTCATTTAACAAAACCTTTTCTCTTAAATAAATAAGTTCTTACCTTTTTTATTTACTGTTTTATGATTTTTTTTGAATAGGCTTTTAGAAACAAAATCTTAATGCATCTATTTTTTTTTTAATGCACTGTACGTGTGTGTATATATGTATAAATTATAGTTTTATTATTACCGAAATGATTTTTGTAGAAAGAGTTAGGGATTTCTTATTGCTTATTTTTAATAGATATTTAATGTCAACTGGCGGAGATGGTAATATTTGTTTTTGGCCTTGGTGTCCATTATCTAAAGAGTTCACGTAATCTTATTTTTGTTTTTAGTTTTTAAAGTGGTTTTTTAATACAAAAAAATGACATCAAATAAGTCTATAATGTTTTCAAATTTTAAAAAATGACATCAAATAAGTATATATGTTTTTAAATTTAAAGAAATGACATCAAATAAGTATATACAATAAATTATTTTTTAATTTTTTTTTTCCACTTTAAAAATTGTCTGACATATGTGTTTTTTATTTAAAAATTATCTGATTTGGTAATAAATTTGGTATAACTTGTTTTTTTTCACTCCAAAAAAATTGTCTAGCATTTGTGTTTTTTTATTAAAAGGTTATCTGGTTTGATTAATTTGGTATAATTTTTTAAATAACTTGAATTATAACTAATGAAGTATTAAAAAAAAAAGAATAGTAAAAAAGTTTAAAGTTTTGAAATAACATAAAGATGTTTAAATTAAGTATACTACAGTGCTGAATTAAGCTTTAGCAGGGCTCTGCTGTTTTGTGGGCCTCAATTCAAAAAAAAAAGATACTTTTAAAAGAAACTCCAAAAAGAAAATCTTTGTATAATGACATGGAAAGGAGCCTCCTACTTTAAAATAGTCCTGGGCCCTGATAAGTCTTTATCCACCACTGATATACTATTACATTTTAATTCTATTTTATGCCATTTTTATATTTTGTTAAATTAAATTGGGGAAATCCTAATGAATTTATTGATAAACTTTTTTTATTAAGGAGAATACAAGGCAGAATTCAGACATCAATTCGGAAGAATGAAAAAAAAAAAAAAAAAAAAAAAAACTATTTGGTTAATAAATTAAAGGAATAGTTTCTTTTTTTTAATTATATCTAAATAATTAATTTTGTTCAAATAAGTCACTTATTTTATTTGAATGCTGGTTTAGTAAAAAAGGACAGCATGTTTTTGACACTTCCCAATGAACTCAAGGCGTGTTTAAGATGTTGAATTGTGTTTTAAAACTTGTTAGTATGTTTTTAAATGTCTAAAACATGTCTTGTGCATACTGGGTTTAAGCTTTGATATTTTCCCTTTTTTTTTATTGTAAAAATTAATTTTAAAATTTTTTAAATAATGCTTAAAACTATTTTAGTCTAACACCTATTAAATTCAATGAAAAGTCAAGACCTGGTGCGCAAATGCTGTGTTCTTCCTTTAGTCCAGGTAATTTTATCAGTTGTTTATACCACAATAATAGAGTTACTAGTTTGAATGTTTTGCAATTTTTTATTAAGAATTATTCCCCTAATAGATTTTCAATGGAAATTTTTAGGTGGTAGTTTTTTGGTAACAGGAAGTTCAGATAATTTCATTCGTATATACCAGCTTTATCCAGATGGTCCAGAAAAGATTGTAGAGTTACCAAACCATGTGGTAAATTAAGCATAAACTTTTTTGTCTTTTATATAAAGATTTTCTGAATTTTCATATGTAAAGAGTTAAATCCTAATAGTCATTATCATTGCTGTCATCATCATCATCATCATCGTCATCATCATCATTATTATCATTATCATCATTATCATCATCATTATCATCATCATCATCATCATCATCACTGTTACCATCATCATTATCATCATTGTCAACATCATTACCATTATCATCATTATCATCATCATCATGATTATCATCATTGTCATCACCATTACCATTATCATCATCATTATCAACAACGTAATTTTCAATTGAACTATATTATAAATGGCAGCACTTCTTTTTTAACTCTCTGTTGAATGTGACCTTGTTGATATGAAGAAAATTTTTTTATTAACTACTAAATATTTTTAATTAACTACTGAAACAATGCATAACAATAAGAATAAAACAAACAATAACAAAATACAAGACTTAAAAAAAGAAAGAATGTTTTTTCTAAAATCAATTTGTATTTACAGGATCATGTGGACAGCATTTTATATAGTCACAGAGGGGATAGGTATGCTTTTTAGTTTTATTTATTAGATTTATTGCTTTAAATTCTAAATAGTTGCTGTAGATAAAAATCAAAAAAGAATATTTATAATTAGGTCAAAATTTCAAATAGAATCTAAAATCTAAATTTAATCAAAAAGTGATTTGCAATTCAATTTGATAAATCTTTTTACATTCAAGTAGTTTTATAATAATAGTAATGCATGGCTCAAATTAAGCTTATTGCGATTGTGAGTTGCGATTTTTTTTTGTACTTTCGCAATTTGTTTTTTCTTTAAAATTTTAAAATTATATTTTTTCTTCTTTTTTTTTTTTTTTTTGGAAATTCTAAAAAATGTAAAATGTTTTGTATGAGGTTTTAATTAGGGTCATCCATAAAGTACATCACTCTAAATTTAACTGTAAATAGAAGTGCGATTTTTTCAAACTTTTGCATGGAGATTTTCATTTAACATAAAGCGCTTTTAAATTTTAATTACTTTAAACCAATAATTTCTTCTATTTTAAAGTTAAATATAGTGTAATTTACTTTATGGATATCATAGTAAACTATAAACTTAACAAAAATAACCAGTTAAGTTACTCAACTATTAAGTATATTTAATATGCTAGACATACTAGTAAAAGTTAGCCATAGAAATGTTTTTATTTATATCTTATACGTTGTTAACACATAATAGGCTTTTAATTAAATTTTAACTAAAATTTATTTTGACAAAAAAATTTAAATAGAATATGAAAAACGCAGTACTGTTTTTTTATATTTTCATTTTATTTGTATCCATATCAAGATTAAACATTTTTTATAAGTTGTTTTTAGGAATTCATTTTAAAAAGAAATCTATTTGAATATATGAATTTCAATCTTTTTGAACTTTTTTATTGAAATAATCTTGAATTTGAAATTTGAAATTTTTAAAAGTTCAAAACAATATATTTATTTTATAACCCTTTAATTGAAGGCTCAAGTTAAGTGATTACAAATTACGATATCTGGAAATGCTTCTGGTCTTTAAATTCTTAGTTTTGGTACATGCTGTATGCTTTAATCTTAAAAAGCAATCACAAATAAACAAAAAAAACAGTCAAAAGTAATTTATTGGTGATCAAATACTTTAAGAAATTGTTAAATAAAATATCAAGTCTTATTCAATATTTTCTTATAAATCAAATATAACCGTCAATTTAATGCTTGTAATTCTCTAATTCAGATATGTATAAAATTAAAGACAGAGTAGTTTAAAAGCATATAAAAACTTATTTAAACTTCTTATAGCAACCCTCTGAATTAGGGTTGGCATTTGGTAATGCTGACCTAAAGTGTTAAATTTTTTATGCCAACCTGATCCTGACCTCTAGCAGTTTGAGGTTGGCAACAAATTGCTGACTTCATTTTTTCTAATTCCAAAGCGTTGTTATAGTTATTTTACAACAAAACAAAAAAATCTAAAATTTTATCTTAATATATATCTTTTTATTATTATTTTTTTTTTTATTATTAATTAATTTCTTATTTAAAATATTTAAATAAATAATTGCTCAAAGCTTCCCTTTTAAACAAAAATCAATTTTAAAGGGATCTCAAACCGCTAAGATATATTGTGCTTGTATTAAAAAGAATGATAAAAAAATTTTTGGGCTAATATACGGCCTATTACAGAGCGTTGAAGGTGAGCTTCGACTAAAACAAAAAAGTGTGTTGTTCTTGGTATACATTTTTTCTTTTGTTTTAATCAAAAAAGATTAGGCCATGCGTTTTTTTTTTATCATTCTCTTGAATATTATTCCATTATTTTTCATACAATACAATGCGCAAATAGCTTTAGAATAATTTTTTTTTGTTGATTTTAAAATTACCACAAAAATTTTTTGGGCCTTTAGTTAATATTTTTTCCTTATAACTTTTTTAATTATTTACAAAGGTCGAATTACCTGGTGTTTAAAAAATTAATAATTTAAAATATGAAAGTTTTGACTGTTATCATGTAATGTTTTCAATTATCATTTAAAAAAAAAAAAAAAAAACTAAATTGTACGATTATTGTGGTAATTGTTAAAAATTGCTATTTAGATTGTTAATCACAATATATACTGTTTAGCATTTTTTTTGAAAGTAAATTAAACTCAATTGTTAGTTTAATTTTTTTAAATGGCTGCCTATTTTTATATAATTTATTCTTGGTAATACAATATAAAATAAATGCCAATTTTTGAAAAGGTTAAATATTGTACATATTACTTAAAAAAGCTCAGTTGCCTTTTCCATAGTGCAAATTAATAGTCTCATAATTTTTTAATTTATTATTAATAAAATGTAAATAAAGTTTTAAAAGTTTATTATATAAAAATTTGTTTTTCAGATTTCTTAGTGGTTCTCGAGATGGAACGGCAATGATATGGTATTATCAAAACTCTGAGTGGCATGCAACTTGCTTAGATGCTTCTGCAAGGCTGAAAGGGTAAAAAAAAACATAACTGTTAGCAGTAAATTATAGTACACCAAAGAAGTTTTATAAACAAGTATTTTAAATGAGTGGTATTTAATGTTGAAAATCTATATTAAAAGCTAGTGACTAATCTATTTAAATGATTTGAATGGATGTGCCTCTCCCTATAGATGCGCGTCTCTACTAATAATTTGTTATAACCCACTCAGACCATCAAAAAAAATTTCTTCGATTACGTTTAAAAAAAAACTATATACAAAGAGTACGAAAAAACATGTTTTATTGGAAAAAGTAAATCTCAAAATTGTACTAGCTTTTTCTAATTTTATTTTTTTAATTACTTTTCCTCTTTGTCTCTTTAAAAATCTGCATTTAATGTTAATGCTAAAAAATTTTATAATTAAAAAAAGGTTTTAAAAAACCAGGTTGACAGATAATATTGGTATTGCATTGACACATTACACAATAAATTTCTAAAATGGCACAAATTGCATCACTATTGAAAAATCCATATTATTTAAAAGAAAAACTTTAAAGTGAGCACCATTTTATAGTATTGAAAATAAAACATTGTCTTTTAATAAAACAAATATTTCTTAATTAAAGAATATTAATTTTAAACTTGATTCAAATTGATTTTAAAATGTGTTAATACAAACATCAAAATTAAATATGAATAGATTTTTTTGTTATTAAAATTTCATCATTGGTACACACAAGTATGTGTATCTGTTTTTTTATGTAACTCTATCTCACAGTTACATAAAAACTACAATCCATCAACAATTCAGACCATTGTTTGGAGTTCATTGCATTTAACCGTTTCTTTACTATTGTTTTAAAAAAGAATTTTTATTTCCAGTTTCCCTGGTATACTGAAGTTAATTAAAAACAATAACTGGTTTATTTTTTTCTCATTAAAACCTTTTAACCAAACGGATTGTTATTTCATATATGTTGCAGCTGCCTTGTTTATAAATTGTTGTGTTTTGGCACAGCAAGTACATCAATAGTGTTGTAGCAGTACAACACTTTGCAATTTTCAAATTTTGGCCTAAGGCCAAAGCAATGGGGAGGATTATAAAATAAAATCGTCTATAAAGTACGTCTAAGATAATATATATAGGAATAAGATCGTCTATAAAGTATGTATGCTCGGAGGGGAGGGGGGATACAAATGGTGTATATGAGATGGGAGGGCAGTGGGTCAATTATAAAAGAAAGGAGACACTAAATTAAAAAAAATATATTATTTTAGATAAATAAGTTAAAAATGTAGATACTTTTAGGGAGGTGGAGGGCACTCAAAAAAGCGTGTTGCAAAATGTAGAGGGGGGGGGGGGTGGACAAAAAGAAAGCATCCGTATTTTATGGACGACCCCTGATGTTAAACAAGTTTCTAAGTACTTTAATGTGGTTATAATAATTATATAAACAAAACGTTATTAATTTTTGGTACAGAAACATGTTCGGTTAGAAATAAGTTTTAACACTAATTTGAAAAATTGAAAAAATATTTTATATTTATTAGAAACTTCTCACATATTCCCAGGTTTCCATATCCCTTGCTATATTTCTATTTATCTGTATACACTGATATGTTTTTACATTATTTTTAAGCGATCCTAAACTCAATGATGAAGCAGAAGCTAAAACAAAATTAAAAGTAACAATGGTAATTTTTTTTTTAATATTTTTAGTTTGCACTGTGTCTTGTTGTAGTAATTTTTTGGTAAGTACTTGTTCTTATCTTGCAAATTTTTTTCAAGATATGTTGGAATGCCAATGATAGATTTATAATAACTGCTGGAACAGATTATGTTTTAAGAGTTTGGGATTCTAACTGTGCTGTGTTTGTGAATGCACTTAAAGGGCACACAGAGGAAGTTTATTTGTTAGAGCCACATCCTAACTTTCCACAAATAATTCTAAGTGCAGGTAAGGCTATTTTAAGTTTTTTTTTAATAATGGTATTAAAATACAATTTCAGTGATAGATAAATCTTTAAATATGTTTTATTAAGAATCAACCTATCTCTTAAGTTTTTATGAAAACTCGTGAAAAAATAAAAAATTTAAAACAAAATTTCATAGATTGCCTAACCAAATCTTTATTCGTTGAAAATATAATAAAAGTATACAGTTTGCACAGAGGCTCTTATGAATAATGTAAATTGTAAGTTCTTGTTGCTTAATTTGCAATTTAAGTTGATGAAAGTGTTTAAGTTGAATAAGATATTTTAAGCATTTTAGTTTTTAGTAATTTTTATTTAAAATAGAAATGCAGAGCAACCATAATCTTTACCTTGACAATTTATAGATCTATTGCCTTTAACTATTTGTCTAATCTTTTACCACAGCAGTAAGAACTTAAGCTTGCAAATACCTTCTTACAGGTTTACATTTAATAGCTCTGTACCCTACAGTATACTATATACTAATATTTTTAAGTTCTTAATTCTTTAGACAGCTTCGACTGTATCTTTATAGACCACACTCACTTTATAATATTATACAGTCTTACAGCCCTTTACTCTAATGTAAAGCAAAGCTGCTTTTGAAGCCATTTTCAAAGTGTTTTTAAAGGGATTCAAAGTTAGTTAGTCTTGTTGTATTTATTTCATAAAAAATATATTGGAAAATTAGTTTGAAATTATTTTAATTTACCAAAAAGAGTTATTTATTATGGTATAGGCAAAATAAGCTATATAGTTACAGTCAACTCTCGATTTTTTGAACACTAAGTGGACTAGGAAAAAAGTTCGAAATATCGAGAGTTTGTAATATAAAAGAGGTTAAAAATAAGTAAAATCGCCTGACTATCATTAAAAAAACAAGTTATTTTTCTGAAAAAAATCTTGAACAACAAAAACTACAATTTTTGAAATAAATCTGTCATCTGACATTGCTTCAAATGATCTTTTCCATCTTCATTAAATCCTCAAGTTTTAGTGCTAGGGATTGTATTTTATTTCTGTATTTTGAGCTATATTGTGAAGCATTTTGAAGGGTTTCAAAAGCATCTATTAATTGATCATCAGATGGGTGTGGTAGGTCCATCGTTGTTTTCATAATTACGGTCAAAAATCTGAGCAGTCATTTCAGCATCAGTAGCATGTGGAAAGGTGGTTACTATATCACAATCTAAACCAATAAAAAATTTTGCTGAGAGGTCTTGTTGGACAGCACTAGGATCTAATTCTCGCAAATTTTGTCAAAGATTTAAAAGGATAATCATCAGCTTTTGCAATATGCTTGTTTGTTTTGCTGGTACTAGCTTTATTAAAGCAATCGATAACAGTCTCTTTTGACACAGCATTCCAAGAAAAAACAAGATTTTTGATTGCTTCAAAGATATTATTGACAGCCTCAATACAGAGCCGCATAAATTTTATGATAATATTGAGCTTTAAGACTTTGTATTATGTCATGATCCATGTGCTAAAGGACAGATGTGGTGTTAGGGGGAAGAAATATCAGGTTGATATTGCTTAGCCCTTCAATGTGTGGATGACCAGAACAATTATCCGCTAGAGGTACCACTTTCCTGTCCTGAGCGCAAAAAGTCAAGCTTCTTTACCCATTTTTGAATAAAGGTCTCCATTCATCCAACTTTTTAGCTGATTCAAGATGATATGATCAAGAGAGTTATGGTCATGATGATATAATCAAGGAAGTAGTTTGAGCTAAAAACACTGTGGGGTCTTAGATTTTCCAATAACAAACATAGTTAATTTTTCTCCCATTGGACTCCCTGCTGCCAATGGTTGTTAGTCTGACTTTCCTATTTTTCCCTGAAACATTCTCATGATAAATGGTACGTTTTGTTTGGTAGGCTTAGGCATTGGTAAAATAGTTCAAAATTATTGCCATTGAAAATGCTTTAAAGTTTGTAATTCAAAAGCAATGCTGAAAATGTAGTTTCATTCCATGAAGCAGTCATATCATTTGTCATGGAGACACTTTTGCCTGACATTATTTTAAAACTGATGCCGTTCGAAAAAATAGGAACAGAATAATTGTTTTTTAATTGCATTAATTTTTATATCAAAAGTGCAATGTTGGTACATATCTGTTTATATTTAAATTGAACAAGATTTGACAAAATTTAACTGACCTTTCTTTCAAATTATGAAACCAACAATCAAGTGCTTTAAAATCCAACTCTCCTAATACTTCTGCAAATTTTAGTGTCTTTTCTTTCAGTATGGTGCCATCGTTAAGTACTTGATGAATTCTTTTTGCAACAAACCACATGAATATGGCCTCTTTTTTTCGTAGTGGTAATTTTCAAAATTACCACTACGATTTAATTACCATCATGCAATTTGTTTTTATTTTTTAATCCAGGTTGATATTGTTTTCTTTGGGACACCTTTTGGGCAACCACTTTGTTAGACATCCCTTCCTCTTTTAATGCTTTGCATTTTTCTATTATAGATTTGTTTGTGATTTTTTAATTAACAAGCAGCATGTTATGTGTTTTTTTGTTGCTGAAAAAAACAATAAGTTAATCTTTTAAAGGAATACTTTTCAGAAATTTGATTCATATAAAAAATTAAATTAGCAATACTTTTCAAAAATTGAAATTTTAGAAAATTAAATGTTATTAAAACATTTTTTGAAAAAAATTGCTGAAAGGTTTGATATAATAAGAGAAAAATGTTTGTGGGCCAATAATAAATTTGCTCAAACGAGTACATATTGCCTAAAGGACTACAAAAAAAGTTTGAGATATCAAGTATTCAAGATATCGAAAGTCAACTGTATTATTTTTTTTTTTTACAATTATTTTTTTGTCACAAGACAAAAATTTGTTTTGTAATTAAAACTCAGTTTCAATTAAATGATCTGGTTTAATTGTGCTAGGTTTTTACACTACAAGTTTTAATTTTTATCATTTTCATTGAATTTAAAAACTTTTCTTTTAAACTGTTACAAGACTTTTATTGTTGCAGTTTATTGAAGGTTTATCAGAAAAAAGTGAGAAAAAAATTTAACTAAAGTGAACTTTGTATGAAAAATATTTTATAAGTTCATTATTAAGACAAAAAAAATATCTTGTATGCTCTCAATAGTTTGAATTTATCACAAGAGTTTGTGCATAATTTTGCTAGAAATCACTATAATATGATTTTATTCATATTTTTATTATTTAACCAGCAGTGAGAACTCATTAAAAAAGATGTCATGGTAGGTCTATGTTCCTTTTCCTTTTTTATAACTTACGCTTTTTGTAGCATTATATTATGGTGATTTTTTGCTTAAAAAATAAATGAAACAGTTTTTAGAGTGAAAAATGACCTAGAATCTCAAATCTTACTAAACTTTCTAAGCAAAATACCTTTGCATATAAAATAGAAAACAAAGCATTAGAAAAATGTTAAAGCATTTTTTTTTTTGAACCAGGTAGAACTAAACATTAATTGCCTCAACATATTTTTACAATAATGCTTTTTTTTTATACTTTTTCAGACAAAAATACAACTAATGAAATCTTATGCTACTTGTATTAATATGTTTCAAAATAGACAGCAAACTTTGGATCACCTTGTTAAGATGTATGCAATAAATAGTTGTAAAGTAAACCAAAAATAGCAAAGAAGTAAAGAACATACATATCCTTAATAAAGCTAATAAAACAGTATTATTACCTTCAGAGAAATGTCCATTTTGCTCAATCAATTCTGAACCAATGAAAGGTCCTTAAACAAATAGCCTTCTATCAAAAATATTGTTAGTGATGCTACTTAATTTTGTTGTAGTTGTTGCATAATTTAACAGGAAGAAAAAAAAATATTTAACAAAAAATAGCATTATAAAGTAACAAATTGATTTTTCGTTTCAAACAACTCAACAAAGTTATATCAGAATCAACATAAAAATCATTTCTTTACTGTAAACAGGTAGTAAACTATTGTTATTTTCCTATTCATTTTTTTAATCTACTTTTGTTAAAGATATTTTCTGGATATTTGCATTTGTTCTAAGAGGTTTATGTCAAAAAGTACAAAGACACATTTTTTTCTTTTTTTATAAAATTGTTTTTATTCTTTTAGAAAAATTGAACTAAAAATTGTAAAATAATTTTAAATCATAGAATCTAAATAAAAAAAGTGTAGGGGATTAATAATTGCTTACAAAGTTCTTTACATCTACACTTTTACATTTAGTTCTTGTATAACTTATAATAATAAACAGTTATTTTTTTTTTTTATGTTTTCAGGTCACGATGGGAATATTATTCTATGGGATATTTACAAGTTCAAAAAGTTAAAATTATTTTTCAACATGCTTGAGGGTCAAGGACATGGTGCAATATTTGACTGCAAATTTTCTCCAGATGGATTTTCAATTAGTGCAACAGACAGTCATGGTCATTTACTTTTGGTAGGATTTGGATCTGATGAACGATTTCTTAATGTTCCTTATGAACAATTTTTTCATACTGACTATAGACCTATCATAAGAGATGCAAATAACTATGTCATAGATGAGCAAACTCAAACAGCACCACATTTAATGTATCCACCATTTCTTGTTGATGTTGATGGTAATCCTCATATTGAAACTTATCAGCTGCTAATACCTGGAAGAACGGCTGCTAACCTTCCGCATATGCGTACTCCTCAAGTTGATGAAAATCTTCCACCTCTTATGGCAGAGATTGCAGCAGCTGAGGGTATATTGAATGGAAAATAATGTTTAACATGTGAATTATTCCAGCTGTTAAGTATCACATAAGTTATAAATGTCATACATTATAATATACATGAGAACTAACTATTTTCTTTTTTTCACAATACAGTTGGTCTTGGGGTTAAGCAGTTAAACTTTTTTTATTAGTAAATTTAAATAGTTTGAAAATTTTGTTTAGCATCTGTGTTTTGCTTGTAAACTTATTTAATGTTAACATGAGACACTCTTAAGAAACTAATCTGTGAAATGTGTATCATTCTTATAAATCTTCTAGTTTATTCACACTAAAACATTAAATTACTGTATTATTATAGATTTAATAATATTAAACAAAGTTATGTTAAAAAAATTAGTGTTACAGACTTGTAATATAAAGCTTTTTTTTATTAAGCAACTATTATTTATCATAGGCATGTATTATGTGATATTTTACCTGATATTTTTTACTTAAAATCCCAACACTGTTATGATTTGACATAAATAGACATGCAGTAAAAACACAAAATAGTTCTATTTTTGTTATTTTTATTTATATAGCTTCAATTGTTCAACAGCGAAACCGTAATAACTCAGTTGGAGGTCTTTTAAGCCCTAGTGGTGTAGGCCTTGGTTTACGTGAAAGTGGGGATGTTGAAGGGGTTCGTCAGCAAAATAATTCATACGTGTCTGGTGATATAAGTGATGCAGATGCAAAATTATGGTGGAGAAGAACAATAATTCCCAAAAACAACTTGTACAATGAGAAGTAAATTAATTTTAATAAAAGGATGCTACTAATAATATAGAGCAATATATAATTTTATTGAACTTAATTTGTGTATACACAATTAGGCTATACATAATGATTATTATTATATATGTGAAGAAAAAGTAATGAGACAAATATTTTAAATATAGAAATATTCTATGTTTTTAAATTCCTAAATATACGAACTTTAAAGATATAAATTTTCTATGATTTTATAGAGAAGATGAAGAAAAAAGATTAAAGCAAGGAAAAAATGAAATTCTTTTATATAAAAAAGAGCAAATAAAGAAACAAAGAAAGGTTTGATAACATTATTTGACAGTTTTTGTTGTTTGATTATGTTCATTTCAATTGTTTACTGGTTGTTTTTGTTCAACATTAATAGCTTTACATTTTTAGTTTTAGTAGGAATACAAAATAATTTTTTATAAATATAATTTTTTTTTAAATAAAGTTTTCAGAAGAAGTACCTGATGATAACCGTAATTTAAGGTCAGTTAGTGGACGTGGTCGTGGTCGTACTCGTTTATCAAAAGTAAGAGTTCCTGTTTCTTATGTTAGGGCATCTGCAATGGGTACTTTTGACCATGTTATGCCATCCAGTGGCAGAGAAGTGATGAATATTAGTGAGAATGTATCTGTTATTAGTGAAAGCGAGCCAGAAGATTGGCAGGGAGAGAGCAGGTAATAGTTAGATACACTTTTCTGATCAATTATTTTGATAATCAAAATATACAAAACAATAAAATCATATTTTTTATTATTTTTATAAAATCATATTTTTTGTTATTTTTTTTTATATGACTAACTTTTATATATAATAGCAGAAATCATAATTTTTTTCCCTTTTACAGTGACTCAACTGATGATTCAGATTGGATAGATGAAAGGTTAATAAGCAAAGAACAGAATGAGCTTGCACCTCGCAAAAGGTACATTTAATGTTATTTGCATGCATATTTTACAAGTGCAACATGAACCTTTGATATAAATAAATTTATTGCAGAGAAATAGTTTAGGTATAATAAATATATTTTTTAAATAATTACAATCTATATTTATAACTTTTTAAATATGATTTTTAGTTATATTTTTTTGATTTTCTATAAATATTAAATAAATATTTATTTGAAACCTTTAGTTTTAGTGAATATCAGTTATTTATGCATATTCAATCATTTCCAAATTATTTTAAAAATGCAACATATCTACCATAACCTTTTTTTTTTAGAATGCTTTGACACTGTGTAGGATTTTTTTAATATGAATGAATAATGAAATAATTAGTGAATGCCAAACTCTACCCAGCCCTTGGATTTAGGTAATTATGACAACAGCATTTGATACAAGTATGAATAATAGATAAGTAGAGGTAGAGAATAGAATCAGTAGTAAGAAAATCACAAGCATGATAAAGAGAGGCATGCTTCACAAATACTAACTTAGCAATGAATCAGCTATATGGTTTCAACCTTTCTGACCAAGAAAGTTCAGTAATGAAAGTTAGTCAGAGAAAAAATTAAGGACTCAGTAAGAGTGATTGGAGTTTAGAATTCATCAGCAAATAGATTACTAAGAAGATTGTTAATATTGTTGAGAAACAACACAAGACCAAAGATGAAACAAACCTTGAACAACAAAATATGTGATTTAAATGTATTTTTTTTATAAATTAACCTGTTTTTTTCTCTAGGAAAACAAGAAGAGTGTGGTAGTTAGATTCAAGAGATAAATGAGGGAAATAGTTTTTGCAAATTGTTCTACCTTATCTTTGAGAGAAAAAATACAAACATTTTTGTGTATGAGAAATGGAATGACATGCCTTTGTTAATGACACTGGTAAAAAATTTTCCAAAAGTTTCTAGAACCTTCTAAAATTTAGTTATCTGAGAATAATGGACCTTATTGTCAGGATATACTAGCAATAAAAAAAATGTTAAGGTTTTTTGTTTTGTTTTATATAGCTTTTTCCCTAACAAACTTATAATAATTTGCTCCTTGAAAACAAAGTACACGATTTTAAATAAACTAAAATTTTAAAAATATCATTAGTTTCACCTGAGAAAAAAATACAAAAAAAAAACTTTTACACGGGACTACTGATTATCATAGTGGACTATTCAAATGTGAAATATTGTTCAAATGCGAAATAATTGTTTCAGTCGCCCACAGTTTCAGGGTGACTTGGAAAAAACTGGAGGGTACACCACTGTCATAGCATGATCTGAACCATCAAGAGAGAACAAGAAGGAACTGAGCACAAACTAGGGGCAGAGATAAAGCACAAATCAAGGAGTAAAGATAGAAGTTTATATTAAGATAAGGGCTCAAATTAAGCATATCGGAATCGTGATTGCTTTTCACACCTTCACAATTAGTTTTTTCTTAAAAAAAATATTTTTCGCGGTTTATTTTTATTTTATTTTTTTTCGTTGTTTATTTACTTATTTTCTAATTTAGCTTCTTTTTTTTTTTTGGCAATTCTTGAAGGTAATGTTTTTGTTATAGAGTATGTCACTCTAAATTTATCTTTTGAATTTATTTTTTTGAACATGATCATTAGCTCTTTCGCACGGAGATTCTCATTCAACGTAAAGCACTTATGAATTTAAATTACTTTAAATCTCTGCATGGAAGTCAATAATATTTTAAAAAGTTGTTAAACTGAAAAGTTAAAAAGGAAAAAGATGTTAAAGCGAATTTTCTCTTCATTTCATTTTTTTTAACAAAACAGCCTGATTTTTATCTTTGTTTTTTTTTAAACGTTGCACCAAATTAACTTATTATTAATAATTTAAATTATTATTTTATCAACATATTTATAATATTAATTTTACTAGTTTAAGTATATTGAAATATATATTAAATCATTTTTATTTAAAAAATTTTCTGTTAGTTAATCAATGCTATTAGAAACCAGCAACTTTTTTGCTTCAACGTTTTTTTACTTTAATGACCTTGAACCTTTCAAAGTTATATTTGCTTTGTTTTACTGAATGGATAAAGTACATCACAGTAAATTTACTTTTAAATTAATTCAAAACAACTAGTTAAGTTGCTACAATAACTTACAGTTATTCAAATATTATCTTATCAATTATATTAATTTACTTAATATACTCAAAGACTCACAAAAGTTAGCCATACAAATGTTTCTATTTATATCTTACATTTTGTTAACACATAATATAAGCTTCTGACTAAAAATTTTAACAAAAATTGTCGAACATTTTATTTAAAGCAATATCAAGATTTAATTTTTTTTTATAAAATACACAAGTTGTTTTTAAGAATTTTATTTAAAAAGAAATCTATTTCTATTTAAAAAGAAATCTATTTGAACAAAAGAATTTTAGTCTTTTAAAATTCTCTTATTCGAATAATTTTGCGATTGAAATTGGAAATTGGAAAAAAATTGGAAAATTTTCAAAGAATCTTTATATAATATAATTAATAATAATATAATTCGATTTATTAATTTTAATATAATTCGATTTATTAATTTTTTTGTTTCACTTTTTATTGGAAAACAATTTAAATAAAAAAATTAAATGAAAACATCAATTTAAAAACCATTTGAATGAAAAACTTAATTAAACTTTATTTTTTAATAGTACACTAGATCAAGAAACAATAACTTATAAAGAACCTAGTACCTAATGTTTTTTTGCTTTGATCTTATTTGTTTGGTCTATAGATTATGGACCAAATGTGTGGTCTATAGGCATGTTTTTCCGCAAATATGAAGTTTTATGATGATAATGTTTTAATTTATTAATTAGAACAATTTTATTTATTTGTTTCATATTATTTTAAACACATTTTATGTTATTAAGGTTATAAACTGTATAAAACAGCACGAAACATTGTCATGAATTTGTTTTACATTAACACAAGCTTTTTATATTTTTAAAACAACTTGGCAGTTTGTTTTGATGTTATTTTAAAGCTTTTTATCATCAGCATGAGCATATTAAATAGTTTTCTATGACTAATTAAATTGGTTTAAATTTTGTAATGTTTGCTTTTCACTCTTACTTTTTTCCTTTTTCCTTTTTTAAGTATCATGTTAAGTAAAAACATTTAGTAAAAGAAATATCATAATAGTATTAAATACTTTACTTGCTCATTACACTTTAACTGCAACTTAAACTTTAAACTATAACTTAAGCTGTAAATTATAACAGTAACTTACGCTGTTTTAAACTTTGCCAAACAAGAAAATTATAAGATAATATTTAAATATGAGAGATAATATGTTAAAAAATATTAATTACGTATTAAAGATACAATTTTATACTAAGTCCCCCCCCCCCCCCCCATTACCCCAATGCTATGAGCATTAAAGTCACTAATAACATCAATATTAGTAAATGGATTAAAAAAAAAAGGTTGGTTAATTTAATCAAAAAGTTTAGGGCTTGGTCAATTTGGAAGAATTTGGGAAAGTGTGCAGTCTTAAAAAGAAAGAGAAGGATGATCAGATGTAGAGATGCTAATGAAAAAGTACATAAAAGAATAGTCTGATTATTCAAACATAATTTTATAACAAGTAGGTGAGTTAATGTAAAGTATAGATCTAGGCAAAGTGTGCAACTAATGGAGTCTTTGTGAAATAAAAGATAATAGCCATAAACAATGGGATCAAAAATGAAATACCCAAATTAATCTCACAAAGAGCAAGTAGGTCTGATGAATTTTGGTAAAATTTTAAAAATGTTAAGTTACTTAAGATCATGAAAGATTAAAACTATTTGGTGGTAATGAGTTGTTTTTTTAGGTGTTTTAATCTTCTCTTTAATTATTAGAGAACTTGACCCAATCATAGATTTGATTGGTCTAGGCAATAATCTACGCTGTTGACTCAGATCTGTTAATCGACCTAAAGTTATAAAAAATTGCTCCTTATGTGATTTTAGCAATGCACTCAAAGTGGCAATGATTTATTTAAAATTCTTTAAAATTGTCTTTTTCAAAATATTTATTCAAAGTCCTATATTGTCCTCTAAAGAATTTTTAGGTTTACACTTGCTTTTTTCACTTAACAAATTGAATAAATAGTTAAAGATTATAGTATAAAAAACCAATTTATATTTATACTATAAATGTTAATTAATTAAAGTTTATAGTATTCTTTATTTTTATTATTAGCAATTTTTATTTATTCTTACAGCAATATCAATGGCAGAATCAAGCAAATTTATAGTGTAGAAATTAAACTTGGTTTGTTTTGCTAAAGAGTTTTGCTAAAGAAAATTTTCTTAACTCTTTAGCAACAGGTTGTATTTGGATTACATGAGGTTGATCATGATGATCCTGATTATAGTAAGAAGATGTTTTATATGTAACATCTTCTTAATAAAAGTGTAACCTATGAAATGTGCAGAAAAAAACTTTCACTTTTTCAAATCAATTTGAAAACAATTTTTGCTTGAGCTAGAGTTCTAAATTTTGAAATTAATTGCAAAAGATTTAAAAAAGATAAATATTGAAATTAATTTGAAGTTTCAAATGTTTAATTTAAATTATTCATTAATTTTTCATAAACATTCAAAATAATCAGAATTTGTTCAAAATTGATTTTGATTTTAAGCATTGCTAGACCTTAATGACCAGTGCTAAAAAGTATTACATAGTTCTAAATTTCATATTTCTAAACAAGTCATAGTTAGCATTGTTGCTTATTAGTTGCTTTTTTTCATTATTATTTATTAAATTCATGTTCCCCGGGTTTCAGACAATCACACCAGTCAAGGATGCTACTAAATTTTATGTATTTTTATATTTAATTTGCAACTCTTTTTAACTCTAATCACAAACCTTGTTAAACTAAGCCGCTGCACAGAATAAGAACCTGATGGTAAAAAATCTTATATAATTATAGGCGTAAAAAGAAGATAGTTTCTTCGGATGTTGAAGATAATGATGAACTAGAGGTTGATGTTATAAGTAGAGAAAGTTCTTCGGATTCACACACTTCTGAGTCTTCTGAAAGCGAAGAGAATGTTAATGATAAAACTGAAACTGTTGTTGTTAAAAGAAGCAAACGTGTAAATAGGGGAAAACAGAAAGCATCACGGACCTGTCTTCCTGAAAAAGTTTTTCATAAAAAGTCTAAAAAAGAAGTCAGTTATTATTTTTTTTTAATGTTTTAACTTTTAAAATTATTTTTTATTATTATTATTATTTTACTTATTACATATTATTTATTACATTAAATTGTTTTAATTTTTTTAAAGATATGTAACCACAAAGATGTTCCTTTGCAAGAAAATACTGCAGATAATCAGTCAAATGAATGGATTTTGAGTACCCATAGTAAAAAGTTTCCATACTTTCCTCAAATAGGTGATGAGGTACTTGATTTATTTTTAAAGTACAAATTTGTTTAGTTACATGAGGTTGATACTACTTGCTGATACTACTTGTTTAATTTAGCACTAACACTTTTTCTATTTACCATAATTATCTGGTTATGCTTTTATTTTGTTGAATTTTTTCTTGGTAAAGCTTTTACATATTTAAATGTTTTTATAAATGGTACCTAAAAGATAGATACTAAAAAAATTCACATAATGCTAAAAGTGGAACACTAGTTCTTTTATTAAAAAAAATATATTTGAAATATTTGAATGTTTGAAAACGTGAATGACCTTTCTTTATTCATTTTTTAATTTTTTTAAACATTTTTAATAATTCTGTGTAAATGGTTAAAGTTTTATTATTTTGTAACTTATGGTTCTAGTCCTTAAATGATTAATTAACTGAAAAATAATTTGGGTCTTACATTTTTATGGCAAAAATATGCTGTGAAATAAATATGTATATATGCTAACAATATGCAGCAATTTAAATCACATGGCATGATGAACAGTATATTAAAACAAGTTATTAATCAAATATAATTTCATAACTAAAAAGATATAAGATTTAATTATAATTATGTAATTTTTGCAATAAACAAGCTTTCTAACAAGAGGTGTTTAAAAAATGTGCCGAAAAAAATGTTAAATAAAAAATTAAAAAACACTGTAAACTAAATTGGCCATGTTATGCTATTAGCTACCAACCCGCTCATACTTGGTTTAAAATAACTTAGAAATTTATTTTGATTGTTTCAAAACTCTGCATTTATAATAAAATTTTGAATAAAATTGTTCTTCATTTGTTAAGTAAAATATATATTTTTTAACTTCTTTAACTAAATATATATTTTTTAACTTCTTTAACTGTAATCAAATAATAAAAATAGTACAGTTATTGTTCATCAATTACTCTACATAGCGTATTTAGTTAGTTTAAACATTATTTGTATGCCTGTACAACTATTTTTTTTTTTTTTTCTTATTTGTATATTATTAATAATTATTCTGACAATTTCAGCTAAAAATCTAGTGTAATTTAATTTAATAATATTTTTATTATAAATTGAATCAATTTATAAGCCATATTTAACTAGCTATTAAAATGCTTCTTTTATATATATACAAATCCTAAACCTTTAGTCGATGTATGTACACTCCACTGCGCTTATCCCTATTTAAGTCAGTCGATTTACATTCCTTTGTGATGATGGCTATGCACATATTCTATAAAACTTTTTAAAAAAATGATAAACAACAATAATATTTAAAAACTTAAAACTACTTCAAATAAAACTTTTTTCAAAAAAACTGAATGTAACATCCATAACCTGACACCACTATCTTGTTTGAAAACATCCACAGCACGACACTACCACCTTGTTTGAAAACATCCACAGCACGACACCACCACCTTGTTTGAAAACATCCACAGCATGACACTGCCACCTTGTATGAAAACATCCACAGCACAAAACCACTATCTTGTTTGAAAACACCCACAGCACGACACCACCACCTTGTTTGAAAACATCCACAGCGCGACATCACTACCTTGTTTGAAAACATCCACAGCACCACCTTGTTTGAAAAATTAAAGTATTAAAATATTTTTTAACATGCAAATGATGTTTATATTATATTCACATTATTTGTATGTGTGTACAAATAATAAATTTCTATTCAAACACATAAGATATTCTTAGTTACACAAAATGTAATTATATTTCCGGATTTTTCTCTTATATTTCTTAAAAATATTTTCCGGATTTTTCCAGATATTTTTAGGAAAAAAATTTTTGGATTTTAAAAATATGACCTTAATCATAACCCCATTTTATCACAACAGAATACATCTTTTAATTTTATATATTTGAAATTAAAAGATGTAAAATATATAGACTTTTATATAGGTATAATATAATATTTTATTGTTTGTAATATTTAGGTATATTATCTTCGCCAAGGTCATAAATTATATGTTATGCGAGTTATCGAACGAAATATGTATGAAATACAAGATTCACGTCAAGCTTATTGTAGATATGATTTAGCTGTTAGTTTTTTTATAATTTTCTTTTTAAACGTTGTTAATATGTTAGTTATATACTGAGAAATATACTTTAAATTTTAGCCAGCAGAACTGTGCAAGTTAGTTGGTATTTCATATGATGTTCATCCTATAAAGTTGTGTTCTTTAAAACTAGGTAAAATTAAAGTTAGGTTTACTTAATTATAAATGAATATGACTTTAGTTTGTCTGTAATTTTTATAATGCTATTATTTTTATTCAATGATTATCACTGTTAGAGCTTTAATGTTATTTCTAAACTTCAATATTTTGTAAACAATTTTAGTCAGTAAAGAAAGAATTTTAGAGATCTAAAAGTCACATTTTGTGTTTTCGTATACGATCTTATGATTCATTCTTAGAAAATTGCTACGGTAATTAGAAATTGCTTTTCTGGGAAATTTTCTACTATAAATGTCCGAAATTAATTTTGTAAATATTAGTAAATAGAGTTTGTACAGAGATTTAAAAATTGATATTACGTTAGTATTTAAAAATGCTAATTTTTTATAACTTTTTGCAGTGCAAACCCAGTGCTACATCTCTATAAATATTGTGCTCAACTATTTCTAATGTTCTTTCGTTTGACAAGGATTATACTTTTGAGTTATTGAGATAAGGAAAAATGAAGCAATATAAATAAATAGCCTCTTTAATAAGATATAGCAGTTTTCATAATAAAAAATATTATGAGATCAGTTTTGATGTTTTTAATATTTTATTTTTCCTGTTCTTATTAATATGCAACCATTTCCACCAAGAAGTAGAAATGACTTGAAAAGTGAATTCTTTCTTTCTAATTGTTATGTTTTTTTAATGTTCCTCCAGGGGGTTGAATGTCAGAAAAATATTTATTTATTTTAAGAAGTTAATTGAGAACAATATTTATCAAAGTTTAGATATTTTAAACCTATGCTTTCATACTATATTTTTTTTAATTAGTACTTTTAATAATTTTTTTTTTTTTAATATTAATACAGAATTAAAAAATAGATTGTTCTGTGGTCATAGACTACAAAAAACTATTAATTTTTTTAGAACTTTATCTACTAAAATATTTTTTAATTAGTCTAACCAATAAAAAATGAAATTAAGCATTTTCCTTTATCACTAGCAGCGTCAACAACAAGGAAACTAGAGGCCTGCACTTATAAGCTTTCAAACTTTTTGTTTTATAAATATTTTAGATTTTTGTTTCCTTTAAAAAATCCTTAAAAAAATATTTATAGAGATTTATAAAATGAGCTATAAAATGGAATGAGCTATAAAATGAAATTAGGAGAAAGAAAAATTTAGCATAATGCTGTTTTTTTAAGATAAATCACATTCAAGTTCGTCTGCTTTTTCTAAGCATTTAAAATCTCAGCTTTTTTTTTACTAAAGTATATAGTTGTTCTATCTAGTAAATATAGAACCACTTTAGCAGTACATTATTGGGAGAACATTAATATAAATGAGAAACAACATAGGAGTGAAGATGACCATGCATCATCCAAGGCAGGAAACAATGTAACACAAGTTTAACTGAAAAAAATTCAAAAATTTTTTGCCTACCCCTAAAGTTTTTGCCCGAGAAGTTCTCTACAAGGCAGTAGTCAAATTTTAACATCTGCTTAAGACAAATATTTTTATAAAGACATCATCTTTAGCTTATACTCAACCAAGAACCCTAAAGCAGGGTGTGTTTTAAGTCAGAGTTTTGAGGCAGCGAGGCATCTACCAGATTATACTCTATTACATTTTACCAGTAGCTGGGTGATTATTACAATTTCGATCCAGACCTGACCTGTAACAGTTTGTATCTAAGTTTTATATTATTGATTATTTTTATAATTTGTTAATTAATCAGCCATCAGTATTGGGCTTATTATCTATTGGTATTAATTATCTATTGGTATTGGCATTGGCCAAAAATGGTTAATCAGTACACCACTATTGTTTGTGTGTATATATTTATATATATGTGTGTGTGTGTATATATATATATATATATATATATATATATATATATATATATATATATATATATATATATATATATATATATATATATATATATATATATATATATATATATATATATATATATATATAGCAGGCTGCAGTACCCCTCGTGTTGGGGAACATTAGCAGAAATATTCCTAAATGTAGGCATTTTTTCCAGAAAAAAACAATATTTGCCGTTTAAAAAAAAAAGATGTATGTTAAATGAGCATATGCCTTCTAGTTTTGCTTATCTCTATAGCTTTTTTAGAAAAAGAAGATATATATATATTAAATTTAACTTAATTGATATATATAAGTTAAATTTAACTTAATTGTTGTTATTGTTTTCCCTAGAACTTATTGGAAAGAAAAAATCATCAGGCAGAAAACAAACCATAACTGTGAGGTAATTCACTAAATAAGCAAATATTGAAAATTAATTTTTTTTTTTAAAGTGTTAAGTTTCAATTGACATATATATTTTTAAAGGTTTCATGATATACCAAACGTTGTAGACTTTTTGGTGTTAAAACATATATATGAAGAGTCTTTGATGCATTTCTGGAAAGAAGGTTTTTTGTTTGTTCTTGTAAAAATATGAAGAAAAAAATTATTTTACATATTACAATCAATTTTTTTCTTGTTAAGGAGACAGATTCCGATGTATTATTGATGATAAATGGTATTTTGGAAAAATCACAAATGTTAGTCCTTTTGAAGAAGATTTTCCTAACAGCAGTTTTCTAAGTTTAACAGTCGAGTATGCATTTTAAGATCTTTATTTTATATAACTTTTAATTTTTTATTGATTTTTTTAATTAATTTATTTCTTTTTATTGATTTTTACTTTTGTTGAATTTAATTAGATGGGATTCAGGTGAGAATGAGAGGGTAAGCCCTTGGGATCTAGAAAAAATTCCTGAAGGTACTTTTAACATTTTAAAAATCTATTTTCTATATACTTTTGTTTGTAGGAATAGCATTCTTTAAATTTTTTTAATAAGATTATTCTATTAAATAATTTTAAGTATATTAAACATGTTCTTCTTTTAAAAGTTCATTAAATTTATTTTTTGTGTATATTATTCCATTGTAATAAATATCTTCATTCTTAACAGGTTATTATCCTTCACAAGTCTTTATCCTTCACAAGTCTCCATTCTTTACAAAGTCTTCATCTTTCACAAAGTCTTCATTCTTTACAAAGTCTTCATCTTTCACAAAGTCTTCATTCTTTACAAAGTCTTCATCTTTCACAAAGTCTTCATTCTTTACTAAGTCTTTATCCTTCACTAGTCTTCACAAACTATTTTCTGTATTTTTTGTGGAAGTAAAACACAGAAACTCATCATTTGGTAACAAGTTTAAAAGTGAAAGAAATGTTACATATTATTAATGTTTACAATAATTTTTTCTTATAACTTTACATAGTAAGGTTGGGTGATTAATAAGTAAAATTTAATCTAGCATTTTTATTTTAATTAAAATTAAAACTGTTCCAAAAATTCAATCAGCTGATTCGTTAAAAAGTAAAGTAATTTAGTTTCCAGTGTTGAATAGTTTATTTAGAACTAAAAAAATTTTATAGTTTGATTGGCATTTTTAGAAGTGTTGTATGTTTTAGAAGTGTTGTATGTTTTAGAAGTGTTTTAGAAGTATGACATTTTTAAAAGTGTTTAAAAGTTAAAGTTTAAAAGTGTTTAAAAGAGCCATTTTTCCTGTTGTTATTAACAATAGCGCTTTTTTAAATGTAAAAAAAAATGTCTTTAAAACATCACCACAAGCATAACCTTTAAAGTATAGTACAAATATAATATAAATTTCAGCTATTAAGGAACCATAAATCTTTTTATGACATTCCAATGACGTTTGCAGTAATAATAATTTGTCTACTTGCATATATGAATAAATATTACCTATATTTTGAGATGATTAAGTAAATGAACTTCAAGCCAGACACATTTTTAGGCAATTGAAGGAATGTTTATTTTTGAATACAAATTTTCAATACAGTTATAATATTATATAATCTAAATTATTTTTATGTTCTTTTAAATGAAAGAATATGTTTATTGAATATAGGATTCTCATTAATGAAAAAACAAAGGTTTAAATTTCATTTGATTATTTTTTTAATGATTTTAATGCAGACTGTGATATTGTAAATGACGATCCATTAACAGAAGAAGATAAAGTTTTGTACATGTATAAACCTAACACAACAGACTGGCCTTATGAAAACTTTGAAGATCTGTTATCTAGGGTTGGAAAAGGTTTTATTTTTTTAGTGCTATTTTAATGTTATTTCATGACAATATTATAAGAAATTAAATTAATTGTAGTAATTGCCATTATGCTTGTACAGAAATCAAAATAAAATTTTATGCTCCTTTGTGTTAAAGAAGTTTCTAGCTAAAGCCATATTTTATATACAATAGGTTAAAAATGCAAAACAACAAATTTTGATATATTTATGGACTCTAATATACATTATGAATTTAAATGTCAAATTTTAGATTTAAATCAAATTTATTAATGGTGTAAAAACCGACATTATAGGGCTGTATGATAAGATGTCAAAACTCATAAGAAAATTATCACTTATACAAACTTTTTATATTTATATTTCAGGTCTTAATGATTTAATGATGATGGATTTTGCTTTTCCATTTGTTAGTCCTGTTGATACACTTCAGTATCCAACTTATTGGAGTGTTGTAGCATTTCCCACTGATCTTCAAACAATAAAATCAAGATTAGAAAATAGGTTTTATAGGTAAAAATGAGTTATTTATTAACATAACATAAGTTCTACTTATTAACATAATTTAACATAAATTATTAGATAATTATAGTTACATAAATGCAATTTATTTTTTTATTATTTGCATACTTAATCAAATATATATATACACACACAAAAAATATCTTGGATTAATATATATAATATATCTCGATATTAGGATTTATATATATATATATATATATATATATATATATATATATATATATATATATATATATATATATATATATATATATATATATATAATATATCCTCGGAATTAGGAAAAATAAGGTCGGCAATAACTTGCTGACCTTAATCTGTGTGAGGTTGGCAGAAAAAATAGGAAACAAAGGTTCAACTATAAAACATAGAAACAAGGTCAGCGATTTTTTGCTGACCTCAAGCACTTCTATATTTACCCTTATTCTGGGGGCTGATATATATACATACATATATGTATATAAACGAATACTTAGATAATCAGTCTGTTGTCATACTAAAATAGGAAGCTACCAAGGGGCTTCAGTACATGCGTCAACTGACTAAAAAGGGAAAACATGCGAGGGAGTGCTTCTTTTTTTTCGAAAAAACTGTAAGTAATTAGGTTAGCAAAAAATGTTACCAAAGGTATGTTTATATTTCCTATAGTAAATAAATACATTTATACACACACACACACACACACACACACACACAGACTAGTTTTTTGACTTTGCAACTAGATTTTTTAATGCTCTTGACAAATTAAATTTTTTTATCTTTTTAATCGTTTAAAATATTAATTCTTTTTTTTGTTTGTTTTTTTGAGAACAACCATTTAAGTAGCAATACACTATTAGTCTAAGTCAGCCAACTTTGATAACCAACACTGAAAATCCTTTCAGTGTTGGTTACTAGTGTTAGAATGGTTTTAATTTGTTGCATTTCCTATGAACATTGTGAGAATATTTAAAAGATCTTAACATAATATGGTGTTTAAAGCATTATATTTTAACTATAAATTGCTCTTTATTTATTTCATGATATTTGACTGATAATAAACTAGTTCAAATTATAAATCCTTTATTCAATAAAGTTTAAATTATAATCCTTTATTCAATAAAAACACTCTGTCAGTCAGAGACAGAGTTGACTTTTTTAGGGAAACAAATCCAAGCCTTCCCAGGAAAGGCGTGCGGTTTTTTTTCTCGTATGACCACACGCAATTACACTATTTTAGAAAACGTGAATGCAGCTGTTTGCAAGTTTTATAATAATGCTGAAAAAGTTTCAAAAACAAAAAAAAACAAAAAAAAAAAAAAGAGACTGAAATAGAAAAAAATAAAAACAAATTAATAATTTAAATAATTTGTGTACTGTTTTTTTTATATTTGTTTTTTTAGAGTTACATTCAACAACAAAAATTAGATAAGGCGAAGCAACAAAAAAAGTTTAAGTCTACAATAAAAAGAATGATTTTCCTTTTCTTAATTTTTTTTAAGAGGATAGCAAAAATACAAATTGCAATGTGTTTGTAAAATTTATTTCTATAATTTTAATGTAACAACAAGGTTTGAATTAAGCGAATGCAAAACGCAAAATCTGGAAAAATATCTAGTATTCAAAATTTTAGTTTATACAAAACCGTGTTCCTTGTTTTTAAGGGGAGAATCAACTTAAATTTGTTAGCGAAAAAATAAAACAATAAACTTACGATTACAAAAGTAATAACACTCTAGTCACTAACTGCATTACAAAAGTAATAACACTATAATAGTGTTATTATTTTTATAACGCACTTATAACTTTTAAAATTCTTTGTTCAAGCAACATTAGTATTCCCAAATTTTAATTGAAGTAGAAAAGTACCTAAAAGAATAAAGTAGATGTTTAAATAATATTAAAGCTAAAGTAACTTATAAAAACGTGACAAACAACTTTATGAAAACATATTGTATTAAAAGTTTAGCATTATGAAAAACTTTACTAATGGACCATAAAAATGTGCGTTAATTTTAAAATTTACCAATAAAAATTTTTTATTTGTTGATTTTAAAATTAACGCATGTTTTTACATAACGTTTTTCAAAATGCTATACTTTTCATAAAGTACTTTTTTATAACGTTGTTTAAGTGATATGTGAAAGTTCCTGAAATTTTTTATAATATTTGAATATCCGCTTTATTTTTTCTAGATGCTTTTCTACTTTAATAAATGTTTGGAATTAATAATGTTGTTTGAACAAAGAATGAACTTTAAAAGTAATAAGTGCTTTATAAATGTAATAACACTATTATAGTTTTATTACTTTTACAATGCAGTTAGTGACTAAAGTGTTATAACTTTTGCAGTTGTAAGTTTATTGTTTTTGTTTTGTTTTTTGTAACTTTCTCGCTAGCAAACTTTTAATAATTTGCTCCTTATAAAGTACACAGCTTTGCATGAACTAAAATTTTAAAGACCTAATATTTTACCAGAGATTGCAAATCGCGATTGTATAATTCAACTCTTGATATAAACTTGTTACATTATAATTATACAAATATATTTTACAAACAGATGAGGATACATATTTTCTCTTTCCTATTTAAAAGAAAAAATACATAAAATATGGGAAAGTCGTCCTTTTTAACGCCTAAAACCTTTATATTTTACCTTTTTATTTTAACCTTTTTATTTTAACCTTTTTTTTTATTATTTTTTTTTTTTTTTTTTTTATTTTAACCTTTTTATTTTAACCTAATTTTTAACCTTTTTATTTTAACACCTAAAACAAAAATAAAAACAACACACAAATTGTTTAAACTATTATTATTGCTTTCTATTTAAGTTCGCTTTAATTTCTTAAGTAGTTATTAAATTTAAAACAATTTTTCAGCAACGCATATAATAAAACTTGCGCAAATGGCTGTGATCACTTTCTCTAACTTGAAAAATGTTTTCGTGGTCGTACAAGAGGCCTTTCCTGATAAGGCTTGAAATCTGTCTTTTTTATTGCACTGCTATTGTATCTTTTTTTTTTTTTTTATTAAAGATAAAATAAGATTTAGCAGCTTTTTTGGCAACTTTCTCAATGGTAATGCTAAATAATATATATAACTATTTTATATATTTATATATTTATATATATATATATATATAAATATATATATATATATATATATATATATATATATATATATATATATATATATATATATATATATATATATATATATATATATATATATATGGGCAAGAAAGCACACTTGCCCACACTTCCCTAAAGGGGTTTACGGGAGCAGTTTACGACTCGCAAAAGTATGTTTTTTTCACTCAAAAGTTTAATTATCATTGTAACTAAAATTAAAAACGCAGTCATTTTAATAATTATCTTTAACAATTCTTAAAATCCCTGCATTCTATTACAATAAGAAAATAAAAAACTTTTTTTATAAGCAATAAAAATAATGCTCATCTAAAGAGAAGCAGCTTGCATAACTCACCATGTTCGTTTTAGGAGAGCTTTTCACCGCTCTTGCCCTATATATATATTAATTTTTAAAAAAACATTTGTACATAAATAGACTAGGAGTGACATTTATTTGCATAAAATAAATGAAGGGGTCATATTATCAGATAGATGTAACATTTAGATGCACAGATTTGTATTTTGCTGTATAACTGCATTTAGGTATCTAACTTTTTCTTGTTTAAATTTAGTTAAAATAATATTTGCAAAAGAAACACTGATAAGTGTTATTAAAAAACAATTCTTAACGTTAAATTTAGGTTAATTATGTTAAATTTAGGAAAGGTTTGGAAAGTTTTACAACTTATCTCTACACATAAAAATTGTGTTCTGAGGGCTCTTTGCATTCTTATTTTTCTGATATAGATCCTAATTGTATGATTGATATCTGTAACAACAAAGTAATATTTTTTATCCCTATTCCTTACTTGATGTGTGAACTGAAGCCTCTGCTTCATATTAGCACTAAAAGATATTATTTTAAACACTCTTATTTCAATATAGTATTTTTAGTATTGTTTATATATATTTTTTTAAAGTTATGTTTAACTTGTTTGCTTAAATAGCAGTAAATTTAAAACATGTAAATTTAATTTTATTATTAAAGTGTTTTATCAATTTAGGCGAATAGATGCACTCTTGTGGGAGATACGCCAAATAAAAACTAATGCTGTTAAATTTAATGAACAAGGCAGTGCTATTATTGTTGATGCTGCTTACTTGGTTAAACTGCTTTGCAAGTTTTGCAAGTATGCTTTGTTTTACATTTTTAAAATAAAGTAACAACTTCACATTTTTATATTAAATGTATAATAAAATTTTATATTAAATGTTTAAAATATCTCATGTTTTAAATATTTAATATAATATAGGTTAACCATTACAATATTACATGCACACATGCATACACATTTATTCTTTGTATACAATTTTTTTTATCTATGTTTTGTGTTGATAATAAATAAATTGTTTCGTTTTTCTAACAAATATTAACACTATCATAAACTTCATTATTTTAAAAATAAAGGTTTTATAAAGTCAGTGTCATAACATTTGTTAATATTTAATATTAACAATCTAAACTATATTTTAGTAATAAATTTAAATTTTGCATTGTTGAAATGTTAATATATAAGAAAAATACTGATTAACATTTGTTATAGAGACCCAGTCATAACTGATATACGCTCTTTATGTAAAAGTATTCCACATATTTATGAGATTAAGGTAAATTTTTATTCAAATATTTAATGTTTTATTAAAGTTGATAAATATTATTATTGCATAATTTTTTATTTAGGAACAAAATTTTGAAGAATCAGAAGATGAAAATGATGAAGATGATGCATATGAAAGTGATGCTCCTGTTAGTGATTTTTAAAAATAGTTTTTATATTTCTTAGGGTGATTCTGTAAATTAATGATAGTAATTTTTAAGAGATGACTTATAATTTGAGATAATTTTGAAAATATTTTTAAAAAAGTATAGAAATAGTGGAATATTTAAATATTAATAATAATTTTAAAAATTTATTTAAAAATTAATGAAAAAAAATTAGAGAAAAAATGTTAATAAAAAATTAATGAAGAAAGTTGATTCTTTTCATATATTTAATAAAAAGTTGTGTGTCTTGCTAATGTCATGTTAAATAAAATTAATTATAATAATAATAGAATTAGGAAAATGATGAAAATATAATTAAAAAAAAAATTTAGACAATAATAGTTGAGAAGTTAAATTTGACCACAAACAAAACAACAAAAAAATTAAACAAAAAAACAAAAATAGAATAGAAAAATGACTGGTTTCAATGTTTTTATTTGACCTATATTCAATTTCGAGTACAAAATGTTTACATTCAAAATAGTTTGAGTGAAGTTGCAAAAAGTCTCATCATTAAAAGGTATTGTTTTAAAAATAAATATTTTGTTATTTTGGTTACCTGTTGTAACAGAATTATGCCTACTGTAATCATATCTTGCAATCAAGATTGACAGAAATTTAGTTGATTTTAAGTTGCATACTCAGAAACTAACTAAAAAACTGTTGGCCATTGTTTATTCACAATTTTCTAAAGTTTGCTGATATTTTCTATTATAGTAGGAGTTCTCAAATTGTAAAAATTTAGTTATTTAGCTGTTACTTTTTTATAAACTAATGATTGGCATTTTAATTTCTTTTTTTTTTTTTTTAGTGTGCTTCATCTGAACAATGCTCATCTGGAGTTTCTACACATGCAGATGAGGTGCTTTATTTCCGATTTTTTAGTAATTATTATTATATAATAAATAGATAAACATTCCATTTCTAATTTATGGGTCTGGTCTTATTATCTTTATTAAAACTATTTGCAAACTCTCTCTAATTTAACTCTTGAATTTAATTTCCATACATATTCTGCCTTCCTGACATATTGTTAGACATCCACACCACTCTGGCTTCCAATGCTAAAGTAATTTCTCAGTTAAAGTCTTCTATGGTTTGTGATCCAGACAACATTCCTGTCATAGTCTTACAAAAGTGTTCTCCTGAACTTTAATTCTCTTTAAACTATTTGATAAGTGCTTGACTGAATTTTGATTTCCTGCTTGCTGTAAAATGGCATCAAATTTCTAACATCTTATCTTGAGTCTAATTAACATACTTTCTGACAATCAATAGCAGTTGGTTTTCAATCTTCTCATTTTATGTTTGACTGTTGTAACTGAAAAATTCTAAAAGGGCTATTGTTTTCCAACAGCAATATTAAAGTCATCCTTAAAGGCTAAAACTCTTTTTTGTTTCTAGTAACTTCTGGGGTTCTATCCTTGGTCCTGCATTATTTTCTATCTACATTAATGATCGTTCTGATAATCTTTCATCTAAAGTATCTATATTTGGTGACAAATCTTTTAGTTGAGTCTGCTCTATCTGCCAAGCTTGAGCCACTCTTCCATTGTTGTAAGGTTGCATCTCTTTTTTCTACTAATACTATTTTACAGTATCTGTCCCTTCATGATCTAAAAACATGCTGCGGAATGTCTCTCTAACATCTCCATATTTTCCTGACTTATTTAACCTATAATTTTCAAATTTTCTGTCAACCATTTCTATGTACTTTAACACTATTCTTTGTTTTCTAGTAACTCTCAACTTAATAGTGGTTGCTTGCCACTATTAAGTTGAGAGTTAAGTTCTTTTGAAAAAGAAATAAAAAATCTAATTTTTTGATGAACGCATTTTTAAAAAAACCTTGTTTGATCTTGTTTAAAATAAAGTATTAAATTTTTTTTGATCTAGGACTGGAAACGTGAGGCAAAGTCATTACTGGAATTTATTGCTTTAAAGGATGACGCAGCTCCGTTTAGAGAACCTGTTGATACAGAGCTATTTCCGGTTAATTATTTTTATTTTTATACTTTTTCTATGTTTTAAAATTTTTGAATTTAATAAAATTTCAATAAAATCAGTTTCAAGAAACATTTAATAACTTTTTAGATGTAAATTTTTTACAAAATAGTCATCATTAAGTTGATAAAAAAAAAACCCATCATTAAGTTGATAAAAAAAACTCTGAAGTTAATTAGTCACTTTTAAATCTAGTGTATGGTCACCTTTTAAAATTGGAATGTGGGGTTTATAGTCACCTTTTAAAATCGGTGTATAGTCACCTTTTAAAGTTGTAATGTGGGATTTTTAATTTAAAAGAAGTCACATAATGTGCTATTAGATAATGACTTTGATGTTTGAATAATGATCTTATTAGTTTTATAATGCTTCGCTATCCCAAAATAAAGACTGTAATAGTGTTTTTTGTTTCCACCTTTACTTTATTGGACTAAAAACTGCAAATAAATCTCAACTCTTTAAATCTGTAAAAAGAGCTTTAAATGCCACTGTGCAGTGAAGCATGTTTATTTGTAATGAAAATACATTAAGTAATATTCAAAGAAATATAATTAAATAAGTATAAATGCAAATACTTGTTATTGTGTTTATTTGTTTTTTTAATCATTCTATTTTAATAAAATTTAATTATTTTGCAGCAGCAAAATGCATCTTTTCTAAAGTAACAAATGTTTCTCTTAAATGTTTATACATTTTTGGTTATTAGAGACCAGGACATCCATTTTTCTTCATTTGTGAAATGCATTTTTCTTAATTTATGATTTTGTTTAGTCAATTAATGTTTATCCAGTTTTCTGATGTTTCAACATAAATTTAATACCGTATCTTGATTTCGTATTTTAAGTTTGAATAAGTTTAACTTTAAAATACAGAAGATAAACTATTTAAAAAACAGACATTATCAATTGAATATTTAAGATGCAGACATTGTTAATTGAATATTAGACATTTTTAAAAAAATGTTATAAATGTTTTTTTTGTGATTTAAAAAAAAGTTTTTTATCATGCAGTTTGACGCAGTTCAGATAAGTGCATGTATTTATAAAAAATAAAGGAATTTTTTATAAAATGGAAAATGGAAAATCTGGATAATGAGTAAACAAAACAAAGCTAAAATATAAGACTACAAACGTTTAGGTTGCAATACTTACTTATCTAGTTAACAAATTGGCTTACAGTAGTGCATCAGCAGATGCCTTTAATCATAAATACGTAGAAAAATGGTAACTGCACATTTTACATAATTTAATGAATTCAAAAAGAAATAGCAGAAATATTTGTTACCAAATGTATATTATGTATGAAATTGATTGAGTCTTAACACACTTGTTATAAAGCTAACAATATCTAGTTTAAATGCTAAAAATTGCATCAGATAAAGTAAAGACTCTTGTTTGAATTCTCAATAATATGACTTTTGTAATCTTCTTTTAGTTTTTTTAATATTATCCATAGGTACATTGTAATATGCTTTTAATTTGTTTTAATTAATTAATGTCTATGGGTCATTTGTATCATTTTTTCAGTTAATTTGTAAATAATTTTATAATGGTTATTTCAATTATAAATGTTATGTAATAATGAAGTAACCATAGCTTCTGATCTTTAGGATTATCTTAGTGTCATACATGATCCGATTGATCTATCTACTATACGACAAAGATTAGATTCCAATCAGTATGATGATGCCGAATCTTTTATTCGTGATTTTCAACTTATCTTCAAAAACTCGAAAACGTACACCACTGATCGACGTTCTGCTGTAAGTTGTTTTCGGTTTACATTTTTAACATTAAATTATAGTACAACTTGACATTACAACTTGACGTTCCGCTGCTATTTATTTTAAACTTTAGTTTTCAAGCACTTTGTAATACTACAGATAAAAATTTTGATGATAATATGAATGCATGTTTTAAATAAATGTTTTTTATTGCTAGATTTTTAAAATGACACTAAGGCTATCGGCTTTGTTTGACGCTCGATGTCATGCTGTTATTGACGCTTACACACGTTCTCATGAAAATATTCACTGGACGCGTGGAAAATCAAAAAAAAAAGCCAATTGTAAAAAAATCTCTGATTCATCAGAAGATGAATTACATTCCTCTACAAGACCTATAAAAAATTATAAAAAAAATATATCTCCTAAAAGGAACAATCACATTTCACCTGTCGAGTGTACTGGTAAATCATTAACAAAAAGTGCAACAACAACACAAAATGGAGTGTTGCGTGTTACAAGATCTATGAATAGTTATATAAATAAAGACTCAAGTGACTCTAGTTTAAGTTCAGAAGAAAACGTTATACCTAAAATATCTATATCGAAACGAACACGTAATTCTAAACGTAGGTCTCGCGTTAGAAAACGTTATGGCTATGACTCAGACGAAAATTTGGAATATCTTACTAAAAAAACTTCTCCTAAACCTTCATTAAAACGTCGTCATGTAGCCGAAGTAGATAAAAAGTCAAACAAAAAACTTAAGTTAAAACAAAATAATATATTACAAAAACGATCTTCGTGCAGATCTAAATCTGCAGTTAATTACTGTGAAGAAGAGTTTGATGTATTTGATCAAATATCAGATAAAGAAACAAGAACTGATTTAGTTGATGATAAGTCATTTACTGAAAGTAACGAAGACTCTGAAGAAAGCTCATTAAAATCTCCTGTAGCCGTAAGTAGTCGCGGACGCATACGTAAAGCTGCAAAACGTTTTTGTGAATAATTTGAATCTCTGCGTTTTTAAATATAAAACGAAATAATCTAGAAAATTATTTATAATCTTTTTGTTTAACTATTTTAGGTTTTATTTTTGTTTTATATTTTTGTATAGATTTTATAACAAATGTAAAAGCACTTGACTGTTTCATAGCAATAGCAATAGCTTTTAAAAAGTATGCAATTTTTAATATTTTACAATATAAATACAGTTTCAAATAAAGTGCTGAAAGTTAGTCTGTTGCATTATATAAAGTTTTGGAGCAAATGCCGAAATATTTATATGGAATAATGAAAGGTATTATAGTATTTAGGTTTATTAAAAAAAAAAAGTTAAAAATATTTTTATATATATAAATCGTTCTTGATTTTTAATTTTCATCAGACTCTTTTAAAAGTTATCTACTACTGATCTGAAACCTCGTTCTCTTACATTAATCCATCAAAGTAGCAACAGGAACATTTTCCACCATAGACATAATTCAAAAAAAATTATGTGTTGTAGTATTGCTTATTTAAAATTCATATACATTATAATTTGAAATTATGTTTTTTTTTAATCAGAACTTGTTATTATGTTTTTACAACAGAGTTGTATCCAGTTCATATTCAACATGTCCAATAGATGTTCTCATCATTTTTTTAAACCAAATTTAGTTTACTTAAGGATTGTTTGACTTCGCAACAGGGGTCGTCATTGTGTTAAAAAAATTCAATTTAGAATGTATATATAATGTATATATATAATGTATAGAATGTATATATATAAATTGGTTATAGACCCTTTGAGAATATTTGATTAAGAAAACCTTAAGTGTTTCCAGAAGTGAAAAATGACTCCTTCAAACTATTAGGATGCAAAATATCTATTATAAAGTTGTTCATTTAAAGATTTAACTTTTATCTTTCAACTTGATTTTTCATCTTGATTTTTCAACCAGATAAATGAGAACCTTAAAGAAACAGTTTTCATAATTTCAATTTTAAATTGAACTTGTTGAATCAAACGACAAAGCGTAATGTTAGAAAGAAGTTTACTTCAAGCTTATGTTCGGGGAACTTCTGACAACAAAAATATCCAAATTCATCGAGATTTCGCTACGATCATTCGCTTTACCAATAATTTTGTTTTGTTTTATAGCCAACATGCTTAACATAGGTCGATGTTTTAGTTTAGGCTAAAGTAACAATAAAACTTTATCATAAAAAGTTTAAAATTGATGAAGGAAAGCAACATCAGGTTTTCAAATGCTAATGATCAGAGATTATCATTTTCCGGATATTTCCGGAATTCCGGATATTTTTTTCAACTTTTAGTTTTTCCGGATATCCAAAATATTTTCAATACATGCAAGTTTAGGTATATATTTTTGTAATATATTTATTTTTAGGCTTTTTCACTCATCACTTAAAAAGAATTATGAAAAGTATCAAAAAAAATTAGAATCAACTTAACTTAAAGCGAAAAAAATAAATAAGGGAAAACAAATTCCGGATTTTTTCCGGATATTTTTTCCAAACCATTGTCCGGATTTTTAAAAAATGACTAGGATAATCTATGAATGATTAACATTGCTGCAATCAAAGTAACATCATAAACATAATTTTTAAAAGATTTTACTGTAGGTGCATTTACATCCAACGTTAGTTTATTCCAACAGTTTGTAAAAAAAGGTTAACGTTCTGGATTACCTTTGATAAGTCGTTTTAAACAGACCATTTTTTATGTGAGCAGCCGTAGCGCCGTGGCTAGCGCGCTTGCCTCAGAAACTAAAGATCCTTGGTCAAAAGCCACCTCTGGGCAAGTTTAATAACAACGGTAAAGAAGGAGGGGTGAACTTACTTTCACGTCTCCTTCCTTATTTGCTCTTCCGCGGCGCTCAGTGATAAGACCGTACGGACTTTTTGGAGCACCTAAAATAATTAAAAAAAGAAAAAGTATGCTTAGTTTGATGAGTAAAGCCGTAGTTATAAAATGTAAAATTCAAGTGTATTTAAACTGATTATTTTTAGCTATTAATCATAACTAAAATGTGTATTTAATAATGTTTGGCATTGTTGGACACGTTTGAGTAGAGCAACTTTTGAGAAGGTACTTAATGTACAGTTGGTACAGTTTTTTTACCATAGCTGGAAAGCTTCGATAGCAAAATGGCTCCTAAAGACAACCAAGCATTCGATTGCCACCTACAAGCTTCTGCTTTTACTTGTACTTTGGCTTAGAGGTTGTTGGATATTATTACTCTAAGGTTACCATCAATGTCAGCTACGGTATTTTAATTAGTTTTTGCGACAACCAACTTGCAACTTTGTACTTTTTGACTTTAAATTTACAAGGCAGTTATGCGACCATAATTTGCGTCCAAATTTTACAGGATTTAATTAAGTATGTAACGCAATCTTATGATGTCAAATCCATGTTGAGATTTTGATACTAGATGGTGGTATTACACAATATTTAACAATCCTACCTATACAGGGCCGTCCCGAAGGCAGGGGGGAGTATCCCACCCACCTACCCCCAAAGCTGGTCAAAAAAAAATTTGAACTATAGTTAGCAAATTGCCTTTTTTTCTTTGTGTGTGTTTCTATTTGGCAAAAAAATACATCCCCCCTCCCCCCTCTATACTTACCTATTATCCCCGCTATATACTTTACCTATTGATGCCTTATATAAGTAAGGCATCAATAGGTAAAGTATATAATAAATTATTTTTTATTTCCTTTTCTTACATCCATTTTAAAAGAATTTTAAATAGGTGTGCAAACTAAATTTTTATGTTTTAGTATGTCGAGATATCAAAGCTAATCAGTATAAACGGTATTATGTAAGTTTAACCAAGTTTCTCTTCTGTTTTGAGTTGGTGAAAATAGTCATTCCGAGGCGATGATGAAAATGATATTTAAAAAAAGTTTTGCTAACCAGAATATAATTATTACATTTTTCTTGTGTTTTCTCTGCAGCTGCGCGTATTATACATTTCTTGAAATCTGAATGAGTTTATAAAGAGATATTTTATTTTAGAAATTTAGAAACTACTCCAGCCAAAAGTTGATTTGTATTAGGAATGCCAAAATTGGATGTCTGAATACCTTTCAACCATTACTACTTTATTTGAATAACTCATTCTCTAAATGTTATAGGTTTATAAAATATAGAACCAGCAAGCAGTACCTATCGCCTTGACCCATGTAAAAAAAAAAGGTGTTACAAACTTAAAGTTAAAAAGCAATTAGTTGCACAATAAACTCAGTAATTGCGATTATTTAAAAATGGATCAAATATAAGTTTATAGAAGTTAATATTAACTAAGTATAAAATGTCAAAATGTACAACAGAAAATATAATCATTTTGAACTATATATATCACGCCTTAACATATTAGTGACTATACTTGTCCAGACTTATCATTGCAGAGGATGTATAAATACAGTTAAAAGAATTCAGTATCGAACCGCAAAATTGGTTTAAGACTAATCACCTAATATACGACAAACGTTTAACAAGTCTAAGTTCAAACTACCCTTCACTTTCACCCTTAACACGATTACCCTTCAAACTCGCCGTCTGCGTAGTGACCTTAAACAGCGTAGTGAACTTATACAATTAGTACAAAATAATTAATAGAATTGATTGAATCAATTTTGTAACGTCATAAATCGGACCAGCTTATTGAGGATCTAAGTAAAATCTTAGAACAAGCCGAATAGTTTGAATAAGAAGCCGAAATTTTTTTGAAACATGATAAAAGACGTAACTTTTTTACAAATGCTGTAGTAAAAAAAACTGGAATTCTCTGTAAACTGCCACATTAGACTACCACCATCGCTAAAAAATTTTAGTGGTGGACTTAGATATTGGCTGGCGTAGCTATAATTTAAAATTTTGTAAGAAAATAGGGATCCTTGCCTGCTTTTTTCCGTCAGAGTAATTAGAATGTGCATTTTAAACAAATTTTATTCCGTGAATTGTTGTTGTTGTTCTCAATATCAATTAATTTGTAATTATATACATGTAATATACATACACATGCATATAATAAATGTGCTAAAAGCCGTTTTTATTGTTTTAAATGGTTGTGTGAATAAGCTTATTTTCGTTATTTGCACGACGGTCGTGCAAATAAGCTTATTTTCGTTATTTGCACGACGGTCGTGCGAATAGACTCAGCCTAGTTTTTGACCTACAGAACACAAGCATAGAGAATATTTGAATTTCATCTAACAACATGTTTTCTTATTTAGCAATTTTACAATTAAAAAATTTTAACAAATTACTTTACAGATTATTAATTTTATAAGTAAAATAGGGTATATAATATAATATATAATATTATAGGTTTCATACTGCCAAATAATTGGTAATAACACCAGAATATCATTAAAGATTAAAATTCTTGGAATGACATTTTGAACTAAGTCACTCACTTTCTTGAAACAAATCATCATATTTTTTCCTTTCAGCCTTTTCAACTATAGTAATTCTTTTATAAAAACCACTGATAATATCATTTTTTATTTTTAGAGTTAAAGAAGAAAAACTCTGAGAAACTAGGTTGTGTTTGTATTTCTACTTGAATCAAGTTGATTCAACTAGAAATACAAGAACACAACCTAGTTTCAACGAAGGCATACAACTTTAAACTAAAAATACTCCAAGATATTTTCAAATTTAATTCTACAAGAAAACAATACAGACACTTGGTTGATTTAAAGATATGTTAATTTATATAATTTTTACTTAAATAAATCAATTCGCCTAATCGAAGGTCACGCCATTATTTGCGTAAACATACTTACCATTTTAGATATTGTCGTCCTGTACGTTTAAAAAACGTTTTTTTATTACGTTAAAAAAACGTTTTAAAAACGTTCATAAGCTAACTGAGAAATTTCGCATACCCAGTAAGCACATGAACGTTTTTAAAACGTTTTTTTAACTAAGAAAAAAAACGTTTTTTAAACGTTCTGAATGGCAATACCTAAAAAACGTTTTTAAAAAAGCGTTTAAAAAACGTTCTGAAAAAGTCGTTTAAAAAACGTTCTAAAACAAACGTTTAAAAAACAATCTCAAATAACCTAAATAAAACCATAATTTAGGCGTCTTTTAAACTTTTAAGGGGCTATCCCCCCATAAAATTTCAAAATTTTCAATTTTTTTTTTTTTTAATTTTAACTCTTTCAAACTATGCAGAATCATAAAATTTGTTTTGGATGTATCAGATTAATCTTTAACTATCTTAAATTGTCTATTTAAGTTAACCACCTCTTAAGTAATTTCCTTAGCAACGCCATAGCAACGCACTTAAACAATTTTATACACCATACTTTTACCTTAATTTCATCCAAAATAGTGTTACACTTGCAATGCATAAGCTTGAACAACTTCTTGATGCGTTTTTCTAGAATTTACCAATACCTTGGTACATCAAGTACGACAACATTCTTCAGTTCAGCAGTTCTTGAGATTTTATTAGGTTAGTTTAATTAGTAAAAATGGGAAAAGCTTGTCGAGTTAAGAAATGTACACAAACTCATAAAAAAAGGAAAAGGTTTATGGGAGATGTTCAAAATTCTGTTAATACTGTTATTGTATCTGATAGTACTAATATCGAATTGCCGACAATAAATCCAAGTGCCCCTAACATCACTTGTGTTACTGAACCAATTTTTGAAAATCCACCTAATTTATCAGCTTCAGCTCATAAAATCGAAAACTTAAAAGATAAAATTATTTCAAAACCTGACATATCTGGTTATCGTATAATTTATGTTGCTGTTTTAATATCTATTTTAAGTTCTGTTTTGTGTCTAGAGTGTGGTTGTTCAACAATCTCACTAAGTGAGAGATATACTCAACGACGTGGTTTATCTTCCTTACTATATCTTAAGTGTATGAAAAGAGCTTGTAACCATTTTCAAAAGTTCTACACTTCTAACTATGACAAATATAAAAGGATTTGATATCAATAAACAAGTAATTTATTGTATGCGATTATTAGGTCATGGATATGCAGGCATCAAAAAATTTTGTACCATTATGAATCTACCAAAGCCAAGACCAAAAACAATTTTGAAAAACTGATAAAAGTAATTTCAAAAGCTGTTAAGAATGTAGCAGAACGAACAATGTTAAATGCTGCTAATAAATTGCAAAATACAGCTTTGAAAGTAACCAATATTTGTTTATCTTGCGATGGAACATGGCAAAAACGCGGATACTCATCACTCAACGGAGTCTTTTCTGCCATCTCTACTGCTAGTGGCAAAATTTTAAATGTTAAAATCATGTCCAGATATTGTAAAGGTTGTGATTTAACTCAAAGCCTCCAAAAATCTGATCCAACTGGTGTTGGCATCACTATATCATGTTGCTTCCTCAAAAAATAATAGCTTACATTTCCCACACTGCCTCACTGGTGCAGACAGCTGGTGCAAATACAATGCCAATAAAATAAATAAG